CACATATTAAACATGCCTAAAATATTATATAATTTTTATTTTCACTATTTCCAAGTTAAATTCTTTTAACCAAGCAACAGTTCCTCATCATAACTACCAAAAATGTATTCAATTTCAGGATTTTAACCCTTTAATTACCAGTTTTGTTTGCGAAACCATCGATTTGTATAAGAGGAAAAAACACAAAAATTCAATTATTTTCAATAAACTAAATGCAAAGAGAAAACTTTAGATTTGGATTATCACAGTCCCACTTTGCAAAAAATCCCACTTAGCGTGTTAGAGACCAAAAATGGCCACCTATTAAACATTGCCTATTGCCTAAAATAAGGTGCATTTCCACCCATAGGGAATAAATATGTAGTGACGTCATCTGGTGGAATACACTATATAATGCAAATATAATGCTTTTGCTTCAAAATGAAAGGATGTTTGTGCAAAAATCATGTTTCATGTATTTCTGACAGCCTCAGATTTAAACGTTTTAATGGGTTTCAATGGGCCATTTTTGGTCTTTATGGTGCTGAGTGTTACTATTTGATCTACACAGTGTGTGTTATACATATTTTGCAAAATGGGATCACATTTTTTACATGTATCCAAAAAGTCACAATTTTGCCAAATTTCATACCTTTTGCATTAAAACAGCCAAAATGGTCAAAGAAATTAAACTGCAAAAGACCAAAAATGTCCCTAATGCAGCATAAGGGTTAAATAACCCATGCAATGGTTTGACAAGCACAGGTTTACCTTCAGGAAGGTGGGGCCCACCCCATTCTTTTCATATAGTTTATGATAGATCCTGGAAAAATCACTTTTAAGGTTGTATCATGCATTAAACTCAATGTATAAAGCAAATAAATTCCAACCACAATTGAGGTTTGGGGAATACTATATATCGCTTATCTGGAGGAATCCAGATATTTATAGCTTATACGGAAGGAACATGACATTTAAGAAAGACTTTTGTTGGACTCAAATAGACATCCTTGTGGATGCTTGTATTTAAATTAGGGCTGTCAAACGATTAATTGTGATTAATCGCATCCAAAATAAAAGTTTGTGTTTACATAATATATGTGGGTGCACTGTGTATAATTATTTTGTATATATAAATACACACACATGCATGTATATTTAAGAGAAAAATATGATATATATATAAAATATTATATTAGGGCTGGGCTATGATTAATCACGATTAATCGCATCCAAAATAAAAGTTTGTGTTTAAATAATATATGAAGAGTTCAGATGCAAAAGCCTCTAAATGCCATTTGAAATTTTCTTCTTTAATGATGATTTTTATCAAACTTGTATATTTAAGTTCAGTAATTTCACTTAAATGGCAATGATAATTACCTATTAATTGTTATTTAAGTGAAATTACTGAACTTAAATATACAAGTTTGATAAAAATCATCATTAAAGATGAAAATTTCAAATGGCATTTAGAGGCTTTTGCATCTGAACTCTTCATATGTGTGTGTAGTGTGTATAATTATTTGTATATAAATACACACACATGCATGTATATATTTAAGAAAAATGTGTTATTAAATTCAATTCAAATATTTAAATATTTATACTTAATATGAATAATGTATAAATATATATAAAATATATACATGCAAATATTTCGTAAATATATACATGCATGTGTGTGTATTTATATATACAAAATAATTATACAAACTACACAAACATATATTATGTAAACACAAACTTATATTTTGGATGCGATTAATCGCGATTAATCGTTGCTCAGCCCTTATTTATATATAATATAAATTATATATCTATATACATGAAAATATTTCTTAAATATATAGAAGCATGTGTGTGTATTTATATATATATATATATATATATATATATATAAAATAATTATACACAGTGCACACACATATATTATGTTAACACAAACTTTTATTTTGGATGCGATTAATCGCGATTAACCATTTGACAGCCCTAATTTAAATGTGTATTTGCAAGTCAAGTAAGCTTACATTTCATTATCAAAGTCCTCTAAGCTTATAGATATGAATGAAGAGCCACAGAACTTTGATTTCATGTGGTCTTAAATGACTTAAACCACTCATGAAACTAATGATTTATGCATAATCTCACAGTCTAGAATTGCTTCGTTTTTGACTGTTTGTGTGTTAACATTTTATTTTAAAACTTTTTTTGCTTTCCTTGTACAGGGAACACGTGTACAGTAGTAGTGCTAACTATGGCAATTTACATTAATAACATAAATGATGGCACAATATACATGCTGTTACCATTCAAATAAACATAAGAATAAAGCATATAATGTAGTTAACAGAGCCATTTGCTTAGGTGATAATAAAAAAAAAACAGACATTGTTGCTCGCTTGTGTGATATCTTTTCGCTTCTCTCGTTCTCTCGTCTGTAGTTCCTGCAGAGTCAGTTGGTGAACTATCAGCCAATCAAACTGGCTCGGATGTGCTGTTGTCTTGGAAAGCCTCCGCGATGGAACACCAGCGAGGCTTCATTCGCGGATACACCATCTACCTGGCAAAAGCCGCACTTCTGGATCTCGTGGGTAAGCACTTTCACACATTTGTGAGTATAAAATCAGCTGATAAGAGCAGAAATGCTTTTATTAATGCATTATAGTGCAAGCAAAATGACTAACTGGTCAATGGAAAGTTTGCTAAAACACTTGTTCTAAATTAAAACATTATCCAAATTATTTTACATTATCCAAAGCTCTTAACAAATTTGTAAAAATCACATTTCAAGTTTTTGCCTTTCAAACTTGCTAAATCTAAATGGTAATGCACAAACTGTATTTGGACTGACAGTCTGGCTATAATGTATTAAAACAAAAATTACACATTTGTATCTTTTGTTATGTATTTTTATACTTGTCTCATGTGGTTGTGCTCCTAGCTAACATCTCTGACCCTGAGGTGCGCTCATACAGGGTGAAGGGTTTGCCTCTGAGCTCGTACAAGTTCATAGTGAAGGCCTACACTTCAGCTGGAGAGGACATGGGGTCGACTGTGGCCATTAAAATGGAGATGGACAGTAAGACGTTGTGATGCTCATTCAGAGATTGTGCCATTAATCTGTAGTCTTAATTGCCAGCATTTATTGGGATATTTTAACTGCTTATATAGAACAACTACTAAATTAAGATATTGCAGATAGATAACACACAAGATTATGTCCTTCTCCTAAACTTCCTAAACTTCTCCTTATCTCTGTTTATCCAGCAACCAACATGCTGCTTGTTGGTATTCTTGTGCCGTTGGCAGCCATGTTCTGCTGTATCATCCTCATCAGCATCTGCTGCTACAAGAAGAGAGAGTGGTACGACTTTATTCATGTGTTTTTCACTTTATAAATCCACTTAAATCATTTTGACGTACATTAATATTTGCTACAACAGACGGTGTTCGTTCAGTCTTACTGATCAATCGGTGTTACTTTGGTAATGTTAATATACTAATACAGTATATATGTATTTAGATTGCATGAATTGGTACATTGATTTGAATTTTAGTTGGTTTTAGTAATTTTTTGTGTGTTTTTAACGAAAACAACACTGATGTAAATCAATTATTAACGTGTTTTGTTAATGGTTGTGTGTTATTTATTTAATTCCAGGGTAAAGAAAGCTTTATATCCTGAAATTCCTGGACCTAAAGTGGCTGGAGACTGGCCGTCCACACAGGTAAAACCGTTTTTAGTGCTGTTTGGCAGGAATTACAGCTGCACGATTAATCGTTAAAAGATTGTGATCTTGATTCAAACACGGACGCAATCTCATTCTTAAATGTCAATGATTCAGCAGTGTCTGTTAAACCTTTGACAAAATCACACCAGAACATTCAAATCTATGTTTCACCGAGCCAGAGTGAAGTTATCATGTACACTATAGGTGTGAAACCCCTTCACAAACAATCTTTGCAACCACAGTTTCATGATTTCTGTGTTGCAAATATTCATATTATCACAGAAGTACTGGGATAAAAGTTTATAGTTTGGATAGAAACGCTGATGTCTACGGTAGCACCTTTTGAAAGTTACTTGACACTTCAAATAACAATTGTATCAATTACATCATTACACCAGTCAAACTTAATGTATGACATTGAATCAATCATTTAAGAGATGTGTTCACTTGTTTCATTATTGGATTAGTCAGTGTTTTTGAGCCATTAAATCATTCAAATCATTTTTAAATCATTGGTTCAGATTGATTAAACATTTTAATCTGCAGTAATAACCATTTTATCAGAACCTCGACTAAGTTATTTTGTTTAGTTGTCTGTTTAGAAACGTGAGCGAATTGTGATCTCTGTTTGAAACAAAAAATCGTGATGCTCAATTTCCCCCATAATCATCCAGCTCTAGCATGAATCTATGGAAGCTTGTTTCCGCCATAGAATGAAAAATAAAAAAGGTAATTGCGACTTTTTATCTCACAATTCTGACTTTATTTCTCAGAATTGCGTGATATAAAGTCACAATTGTGTGATATAAAGTTGCAATTGTGTGATATAAAGTTGCAATTGTGTGATATAAAGTTGCAATTGTGTGATATAAAGTTGCAATTGCGTGTTATAAAGCCAGAATTGCGTGATATAGTCAGAATTGCGAGATATATAGTCACAATTGCGTGTTATAAGTCAGAAATGCATGATATAAAGTCAGAATTGTGAGATATAAAGTATTCTGAGGGGGGAAAAATTAGTTGTTTTTTTTTCTTAGAATTGACCTGATAACTCGCAATTGCGAGTTTATATCTCACAATTCTGACTTTTTTTCTCACAATTGCGAGATATAAAGTCAGAATTTCGTGATAAAGTCGCAATTGCGTGTTATGAAGTCAGAAATGCATGATATAAAGTCAGAATTGTGAGATATAAACTATTCTGAGGGGGGAAAAATTTCGTTTTTTTTTTTTCTTAGAATTGGCCTGATAACTCGCAATTGTGAGTTTATATCTCACAATTCTGAGAAAAGATGTCAGAATTTCGACATATAAACTCGCAACTATGTGTTATAAAGTCAGAATTGCGAGATGTAAACTCGCAATTGTGAGAAAAAAAGTCGCACTTCTGTCTTTTTTTCTCAGAATTGCGACTATATTATACAATTCTGACTTTACAGGGCTCGAAATTAACTTTTTTACTTGGTAGCACTGGTGCTACCAACTTCAAAAAGTTAGGAGCACCAGCGAAAATTAAGGAGCACCCACCAAAAATTAAAGATCACCACAACTACAAATTATATATAAACAAATTTCTTTTATTTAAAAACAACACCAATCAACACCAACAATCACTGGGGCTTTACACATCCTGTGGCCAGGATTTGAAATTTGGTCTCTAGGCTCTCTGTCCCTCCTCCATCCATCTCTTCACTGAGGCTGAGGCATCGAACGCCTCCAAAGGAGGACCCTCAATGCTGATTTGGATTAGATCTTCTACTGTGTTAGGATGTAATGAAGATCTAATGTCTGATTTTCATTCCTAAATGACAACTTTTTGTTTATTAAACATGTCTATTATAAATCACAGCGGAAAATTATGGTGCTCCTGCTGACCCAGAGAGTATATTGAACTACGCAGTATTGTTATTTCGGTGTTACAAATATTCTTATCACAGAAGAACTTGAATCGGAACTAGAATTAAAGGTTATGGTTTGGATATAAACACTGACATCTACAGAAGCGATCAAAATAGAGACGAGCACCTTTTGAAAGTAACATGGAGCTTCAAATAACAATTGTATCGATCACATTGTTACTCCACTAGGTGGCGACAAGTGACTTAAATGTATTTGTTATTGAATCATTCATTCAAGAGATTTGTTAAAAAAACGCTGATTCATCCATTAATGAAACAAGCAAAGTATTTATTATGATATTACTCATATATTGCTATATAATACTAAATAAGCTATGTATTAATAAAACAATATAAATAAAAACGAAAAACATCCTCACTATCAGCATTGGCATGTCCATCAAGCAGGACGCGGACATAGACATACACGATCACACACACTCCTTGACAGACAGGTCGGTGTCTCCATCGATAATGAAAGAGATGTACTGAGCTGACGACACTTTAACTGCGGTGTTCTCGCGGATAGTATCTATCTGCTATGACCCCAATGATATTGGCACACGTGACAACAGAGCGCCGCGAAAGGGAGTGATTGACAGCTGATATTAACCAATCTAAAATCTGCTTTAAAGTTAAGAACGTAAGGATGAAGTTTGATTGGTTATGATAAAATGATGGTCCGGCCACCGCGTATCAGCGCACATAAGGTACACAGTAATTTGCGATCTTTTTGTAGAGAGATGAAAACAGGTCGCACCACAACCATTATTTGCACTCGCACTAATGCTCCCAAATATATTTTTAGGTCGCACAGGTTAAAATTCACGAGCATATGCGACCAAAATGGTCGCAATTTCGAGCCTTGCTTTATATCTCGCAATTCTGACTTCATATCACGCAATTCTGACTTTATATCTCGCAATTCTGACTTTATATCTCGCAATTCTGACTTTATATCACACAATTTTGACTTTATATCTCGCAATTCTGACTTTATATCTCGCAATTCTGACTTCATATCACGCAATTCTGACTTTATATCTCGCAATTCTGACTTTATATCACACAATTCTGACTTTATATCTCGCAATTCTGACTTTATATCACACAATTTTGACTTTATATCTCGCAATTCTGACTTTATATCTCGCAATTCTGACTTTATATCACACAATTCTGACTTTATATCTCGCAATTCTGACTTTATATCACACAATTTTGACTTTATATCTCGCAATTCTGACTTTATATCTCGCAATTCTGACTTTATATCACACAATTTTGACTTTATATCTCGCAATTCTGACTTTATATCTCGCAATTCTGACTTCATATCACGCAATTCTGACTTTATATCTCGCAATTCTGACTTTATATCACACAATTCTGACTTTATATCTCGCAATTCTGACTTTATATCACACAATTCTGACTTTATATCTCGCAATTCTGACTTTATATCTCGCAATTCTGACTTCATATCACGCAATTCTGACTTTATATCTCGCAATTCTGACTTTATATCACACAATTTTGACTTTATATCTCGCAATTCTGACTTTATATCTCGCAATTCTGACTTTATATCACACAATTCTGACTTTATATCACGCAATTCTGACTTTATATCACGCAATTCTGACTTTATATCTCGCAATTTTGACTTTATATCTCGCAATTCTGACTTTATATCACACAATTCTGACTTTATATCACGCAATTCTGACTTTATATCACGCAATTCTGACTTTATATCACACAATTCTGACTTTATATCTCGCAATTTTGACTTTATATCTCGCAATTTTGACTTTATATCACGCAATTCTGACTTTATATCTCGCAATTTTGACTTTATATCACGCAATTCTGACTTTATATCTCGCAATTCTGACTTTATATCACACAATTCTGACTTTATATCTTGCAATTTTGACTTTATATCACGCAATTCTGACTTTATATCTCGCAATTTTGACTTTATATCTCGCAATTCTGACTTTATATCTCGCAATTCTGACTTTATATCACACAATTCTGACTTTATATCACGCAATTCTGACTTTATATCACGCAATTCTGACTTTATATCTCGCAATTCTGACTTTATATCTCGCAATTCTGACTTTATATCACACAATTCTGACTTTATATCTCGCAATTCTGACTTTATATCACACAATTCTGACTTTATATCACACAATTCTGACTTTATATCTCGCAATTCTGACTTTATATCTCGCAATTCTGACTTTATAACGCAAATGTGAGATAAAAAGTCACAATTATTTTTTTTATTTTTTTTAATTCAGTAGCGGAAAAAAGCTTCCATATGAATCACTATTGCTATTGCTAATAACTTTGTGCTATGAACATGAAAGATTCCTGAAGTTGCTGTTGTGTGTGTTTAGGGTCCTCTGGATGTGAAGCCCTCTCCCCACAGCCTGGTCCACATTGTGGATGATCCAGAGTGGGATTTCGGTAAGAAGGGTCTGGTCCCGGTACCAGAGGAAGAGGAGGAGTTTGAGAACGACAACATCGAGGTAGACACCGACTCCGACGAACCGGCCCTCCTGAGATATTACAACCAGGTTGTCGGTGACGGCTCCCACAGTAACCAACTCTCAGACTCCTCTGGTTCCTCGACCGCCTCCGTGGGCTCCACGCATACTGAAGTCACCTACACCGGCATCCAGAGCCCGAGCTCTTCACAGGGTGTGTGTGCCGGCGGAGGTTACCGGCCTCAGATGCAGTCCGCCGCGGATCCAGACGAACCCGAAGGCGAGTTCCTTGAAGACGACGCCTTGAATACAGGCTATAAACCCCAGTGTTCCTGGCAGCTGGATTCTCCGGAGGCGGAAAACTTAAGTGGTTCGCTTGGCAGCCCTACATCGGTCACATCATCCCAGTTCCTTATCCCAGAATCCTCTGAGGAGAAACCACAGTCTTCCAGCACCTGGTTCCACAGTTTTCTCTCGGGAAAATCCTGAGAACGCACTACTTCACTTATGTTTTCACGTTAGTTTTGTGCCGTTCACCTTTACGGGGATGTTTTCAGTTCGTTTTAGACTTGGTGCCCTTACTGGAAATCGTTCACAATTATGTAATCAACATCACTACTGTTTCTCAATGACTTGTGCTATGGCCAGAGAGGTGAAGTACTACTGAAGAGCTGAAGGTGGCCGTATCTTCCGCTCGCTCGACGCAGGATGACGCTTAAATCAGTGTTCGTCCCTCTTTCTGCAGTGTTTTTGGAGCGATCGGGGTAAATCTACACCCTCGCAGCATTATATTGTGCACAACATTTCACTGCGCTTTTTTATTCTTATTTTAACAGTTTTGTAGCAGTCAAATGTAGGAGGACCGGTAAAACATGTTGATTTGCATTTCAAAAGGCTGCATTCTCGAAGGCTGCACCGTTTTCAGGTGATTTAAAATAGGAATTATGTAGCCTCAAGCTACTTTTTCTCCAGTCTCTCTCGATGTAAATGTAAACCGATATGTGTGCAGTAAATAAGCTGACTGAACAAAAGGAAAAGCAGAATGGGGAAACGTGAATCTTGGGTTTTGCTTTAACCTTTTATGACATTTCCCTGATTTAGGAACACCGTTGAAGTGTTCACATGATCTTACACTGCCGGCTTCATCGGTGTAAAATGAATGTAAACACACTCAGTGTTGCTTAATGATGCGGTGCAGCTAGTTAGTTTTTAACGTGTTTTTGTTAAGAGGTTGATGCTCAATCACGTAAATCCTCGGCTAGGGCTGCACAATTTTTGATTTTCAAAATATGAGTGCGATTTTTAAAATGAATTTTAATTTTAAAAAAAAAAAGATCCAGATTTGCTATGCTTGTTTGTAGGCCTTCACAATTTGGCCGAACATTTTGTAATTGTATAGCAATGTGACTAATAATAGTATTCATTTTATTGAAAATTAATGATAAATAATAATAATTATTATTATTACTACTAACTAAAACATTAAACAAAATAAGAAATATTACACTTGTAATATTTCACTCTAAAATAAAAACTAATTTTATAACTTTTTAGTTTTACAGTACAACTGTAAAATTACAATACTAATAGTTATGGCTGTCTTAATTTCTTTATTTTCAAACGTTAAACCAACAAGCTTTTATTTTGGCAGAAAACCACATGGTTTACTTTTGTTACCAAACAGCGTTTGCAATTTGATATTCGGTTTTATTTCGATTATTTTTTTATTATTATTATTAATAGTCCAGCCTTATTCTCAAAAATATTTTTTAAAGAAAAAAAAAATTGGTAACATTTTACAATGTTTCATTTGTTAGTATTAGTTAACATATTAACTAACAATGATCAATACATTTGATACTGTATTTATTAATCTTTGTTAATGTTAGTTAATATACATTCGTTGTTTGTTCACAATAGTTCACAACTAATTTTAACAAATACATCTCTTGATTTTATTAATGTATTAGTAAATGTTAAAATTAACAATAACAAAGATGAATAAATGCTATAGTATTGTTCATGTTAACTAATGAAACCTCATTGTAAAGTGATACTGAAAAATCTCAGCTATTAGTCTAATAAGATTGTAGGATATTGAACTCTTCTAATATAAGTTTTCTAGTCTAACTCTTGCTTTCCAAAAGTCAGTAACAGTTGAAATTGGCATTATCCGTACAATATGTGAAGCCCCTTTTCAGTTTTATGAATATGCATACTTTTTAACCCAAAAGTCTTTAAATACGAGGCTCACTTCAACTCACACATGCATTGCACTTCCCAGTATAAAATCAACTAAATGTCATCGTGTGTCTAGTTGTAGATGTGTCTGTCCAGGATGCACCCCTGTTTGTTTCCATATGACCACAGTGCCTCAGGAGCTTAGTCATATTATATCCAAAGAACTGCACCTTCTCTCAGAGCAGTTTCCCCATCATTAGGATGGGTTACCACAGGGTAAATCACTTCCACTGGCCTTACCGACATCAGAGAATCCAACATACAGTTCAGATATATGCGAGCTATGTGTTTAACGTTACTGTGAAGGCCTTTTCCTGAGCACTGTGTATATCGCTAGTCCTCCAAATCCTTATGCAGCAGTCAGAACAACAGATGCGTCACATCAGGACAACAAGGCGCGAGTCTGAATGGTAAAAGTCGACAAGAAAACAAAGCGACTCTATTTACTTTCTTAATCTTTCTGCTGTTATGACTTTTTATTTCAATTTTAATAATGTGCTCCACCTCTAAAACAATACACTGTAAAAAATATTGTTGGTTTAACTTAAAAAATGAAGTCGTACAATTTTTAAGTTCATTGAAACGGAAAAATTTAGTCAATTCAACGACGGAGATTCATTTAATCATCAGAAACTCAAAATATTAAGTTATCTGAACTACATAAATTATTTAAGTTGATTTGACAAAAGAAAAAATGTGATTACAAATCATGAAAATGCTTTTTTTACAGTGGGTTTAATTCATATCTGATTCTTTTCTTCCATTTTTCATCATCCAATCAGTCTAATAGATCAAATCAAGCCCCGCCTCACTCTTTTTTTTCTAGTTTCCGCAAGTAAAATGAGTTGCGATGCACTTTCTTGTCGAACTTCAGACATTAAACTCCTAATGTGACGTGATTGAAAGGGCATTAGATGAGCATTATTAGGAGCAAGATTATGAAATATTATGGGATAGGTCAGCATCTACTGTTGCTTAAGCTTTAAACACTACTGTGAAAGATTTTATTACGTTGGAATAATTCGTTACCAATATGTCATTTTTGCAGTTGTACGTAGAGATAAGCCTAGTACTAATGTTTATTTTTTTATTTGCTTTTCTGAATGTGAAATGCACAAATGTCATTGTCTATGTAATGTTTTTTAACTGTTCAAGAATATGCATAAAGCCTTAGCTGGGGATTTTATAGCAGTAAAAATGGAAAATGAGCTATATATTCTGACAACATCATCTCAAAGGCTACACTACAGGGAGAATGTGAAACAAATCGGATATTTGTCTGATAATATCTATATTTGAGCATCTTCCGTATGCTATCAAGATGAGAGATCGGTGGGATGTCCCTTCAAGCATGAGGCATTAATGTAAATAAGCTTTTCTCTTGAGCATGAAGATCATCAGATTGGAATATTGTACCCAGTTAATAATTACTAATTAATATTACAATAATGTTGTTGCCTTTGCATGCATGGCAGATTCCACATTCAGTGTTCAGAGAGGGGAAAGATAAACTTTGAATGAGGAATATGGAATGATTTCTTTAGAAACACTATATGAGTGTGTGTAAACACGTGTAAGAAAAAACAAAGATGTATCCAGGCGTTTGAGCTCTTTATACTCTGCTTATACACTAACAGAATATTGTACACTCTGTATTATAGACAATAAATCCACATAAACCACAGTTTTGCTTTGATCATTTTTGCCTTTGGACATGCATTGTGTGTAATATTAGCATTGAGAAATCTGTATACAAGAAACAAGTGCAGTAATATATATTTTTTTTTTGTCAGTAAATCCCCTAGTGATGTTTGTCCGAGGCTCTGAACCCCTTTTGCCCCTACACTCTCAGAAAAAAGGTACAAAAGCTGTCATTGGGGTTGTACCTTTTCAAAAGGTACATTTTTGTACATTTCAGGTGCTAATATGTACAATTTAGGTGCTAATATGCCAATTTTAGGTACTTATATGTACATTTTAGGTGTTAAAATTTACATTTTAGGTGCTAATATGTACCACTAAGGTACCAATAAGCAGCCTTTGGGTACAAAAGTGTACCTTTTGAAAAGGTGACAGCTTTTGTACCTTTTTTTTCTGAAAACACTGGACTCCAGTGTCTCCAGGGCCTGATCATCAGTATGTGCAGATTGCTTTTGTTTTCTCCAGACAGGATGGAGTGCTCGTAAATGCAGGAACGTTCAGAGGAACATCAGATGTAGGTCAGTTGTCCTCATTTTCACCTCTATAAACCCACCAAAAGTTTTAGCCTTCTCTTGTTTTATTGGTGCTCCGTCCTAATGCTTCAGTGACATGTTCCTTCGGGTCTGTTATATGAATCTCAGTCTTTTTTTCTGGGGTATGATGATGCACTTTCTCCATGACCAATAAAACACGCAAAATTTGATATTTCTCAGGTGATGGTAATATTTTGAAGTTTTAAAGATTTATGGACGTTCATGTCAAATAGACGTTTAGAAGATGTCTTTAACGTGCATTCTAAATCATTACATCTTAAAGACAACTTCTAGACGTCTGTTTGACATCTGACAGGAAACATCCTATAGATGTATTGCAGATATGCATTTTCAAACCAGCAATAATAACAATATGGCAGAACAATTGAAAATACAGATACATTTTGAATTCATGTACATTAATAAATAACCAAATAAAATAATACAACTTTTGGAAATGCGTATTATTATTTGGAGCCAAAAGCTAAAGGATTGCAATTGAATTAAATAATAATTTTAAGAACAAATCGCTTGTCTTACAGATATTCAAAGATTTTTTAAAACCTTCATTTTAAATTTGTCGGTTAAATTCAAGTAAACACACAAGTGTGTGTATATACTGTGTATACTACTTGGTGATTTCGGTCACAAGGTACATCCACTCTCTCTGCCACGAATCCCATCAGGGAATTGTAGTTGGACCTTTGTGCTCAGCCAGTATGGTTTCTGTGACAACACCAAGCCAAAACGAGACACTCCCCAAAACAATGTCATCCATAAACTACACATATGTCTAGATTTTCTTAAAACCGATATATATAGACATTATTGAATTTCCTTAAGAAAAATAAGCGCTCAGAATGTCCGACATAATCTGTCAGTGGCTGAATTCAGAGCTCCAGCTGTCAAAAGTCGTTGGTAAGTTACGAAATAGCCGTTAGCAAACGAGTTAACGATCCGTCCTTAAACGTGTGTGTTTATACTTGAATGTATCGTTTAATCAGCTAAACTATGAGTAATAATTGCGCGTTTTTCACCCCTAATGTTATATGAATCTTTTACAGAGCCTTATTCCTTCGCCAGGGATTTTGCAAACGGTTTTTTGATAGGAGAGATCCTGAACAGATATGAGCTGCAGGAGGACTTCCACCTGTTCACCAAACAAAGGTAAAAGTAAGTTAACGTTAGAATAGATGGATGGACATAGGCCTACATATTTTTATGTTTGTATTTTATGTACATTTTATGGGTATTTTATGTTACATTTGTACATCTGTTTATTTCCGGTTCGGTGAATGAATAACATTAGACGGATACAGTTGTATGGATGGATAGAAAAAATGGTATAGATGACTGGATTGATTGAGTTGTTGAACTGGTGATTGGTGGGTGGATAGAAATATATATATATATTAAAAGTTAAAAAAAATTTAAAGTATTTTTTATGAAATGTATATATTTTATATGTATCCATCCTTTTATGGATGGATGCTCATAGATATGGATGGATGGATGGATACAGACAGATGGAGATAGATAGATAGATAGATAGATAGATAGATAGATAGATAGATAGATAGATAGATAGATAGGATTTGGTCATAGATAGATATCTTAATTATTAATATTTATGTTATTCCACAGCACGGCGAATGCGAAGCTGAATAACTTCACTCGTCTTGAGTCCACACTGCAGCTGCTAGGCGTGCCCTTTGACCTTGGCAATGCCAAAGCAGTGATGCAGGGCAGACATGGGGCGGCCACACAGCTGCTCTACCAGCTCTACATCCTTCTACAGAAGAAGAAGAAATCGGGCCTCACTGCCACAGCCTTGGAGGTCATGAAGCCCGTGGCCACGGCCCGTCTGCACCGCATAGAGAACAGCATCTATACTGAGGTGATCTGTTACTGCAACATCGAATCAATTCATTTCTGTCCTCCTCTCTCAGGGGTGGTCATTAGTTGCTGGTTATTTGGCACAACTTATTGCCCTGAAATATATTAAAGATCCACACAGAATGGTTGTGTACAACACAATTTCTCAGTAGGAAGGTTTTAATGTCACTATTTATCATTTAGATTTTATAATTCATATTAATCATAAACTTCAATTAGTAGTGTCATGTAATGTGAATAAGTGCAGTTACTTTACTGAAGTTTTGGGTCTGTATGATTTTTGAAAGAAGTCTGTTATGTTCACTAAATAAATACAGTAAAACAGAACAAAATGTGAAATATTATTAAAATTTAAAATAATTCTATTGTATTTGAATATTTTTTAAAAAAAGTAATTTATTCCTGTAATGCAAAGCTGAATTTTTAGCATCATTACTCCATTCTTCAGTGTCACATGATCCTTCAGAAATCATTCTAATGTGATGAACTTTTCACAAAACTGTGTTTTCTAATACAAGATATTTAAAAAATAATAATAATCTAGAAATCGAACTAAAATCAAGTTAATATGTGGCAGGTTGCATATGTCATCTTGTAATAATTGGTAATTGGTTCGTTTCGTGTTTAGATTAGCTTTGCCAACACTGCAACCTTAGGACCAAAGAAAAGAGTCTCATGTTTGTTTCACAGCGCTTGAAGACGGTGGTAAAGCGTGAGGCGGATCTGAAGATGCAGAAGATCGCAAAGCGCTTCCATAAAAGAGGACAGGACATGTACAAGCGCTCGTTCATGACTGAACACCTGAAGGAAGAGGAACGGCTCAAACGCCTGGAGGAGAGGAGGCTCAAGGACATTGAAAAGGTCTGCTTTTCTAGAGCTAAACCACAGCTGACATTTCCCAGTGATAAATATATGTGTTTAACTCTATTATTCAGTAGCATCAAACAGAAACTTCTAAATTTTTTCTTAATGCGTTTTACTTTTTAATGGTTGGTGAATCGGAATGTAATAGTGTTGATTAAACTGATGATATATGATTTGTTGTTTGTCAGCACCGGCAGGCACGCAGAAAACAGAATGAGATTATGATTCAGATTCAATCAGCTGTAATCCAGATCCCGAAGCCTCCACACACTCGCGCGTCGAGAGCTTCTGAAAAACACCTTCAGTTTCGCAAAAAGCAAGAGGCTCAGGTAAACAGCACACAACAGCACTTTTGACATTATTGTCATAATTATGCACGTTGTAACGATGTCATCAGGAAATGAATAAATAAATTGTAATAATTTAGTTGTTCTACATTTATAAGTCATCATTCATCTGTAATATATGATGTTTGAAATATGAAATTGTGGATTTGATGATTATACATATTTGAATGCAATTCTATGTCGTATTGAATGGTTGGTGGTCTATTTAAAAGTGATTATTATGGGTATTATTGTGTTGATTACTGGTGTAAAATCTTGATCTCATTAAGTGACGGGTTTATGAAAGAACAATCAGACTGCACAAGATCTTTGTACGTTTTTTTCTAAACTGAAACTTAAATTAATGACAGAAACCCTGTCTCGCACCCCAGCATAAACAACCCCAACAAAGAGAGTGGGAAAACGTCACAACTTTTACAGCTTCTCGCAAGTTTTCGTTATTGTAATATAGTACATCAGAGTTGTAATTGTTAACTAAAACTGTTAAAAAAAAATGTTGGTAATTGAAATAATAAAAAAATAAAATAATAAAACAAAATAAAATTGAAATAAAATAAAGTATGAATATTAGATTTTAAAAAATGTAAAAACTTCTTTCAGTAAGCAACATTTCTAATGTTTAAGTTGAAAAATGAATAAAACTGAAAATATAAAAATAAAAGCTATTCATATATTTATACTGTTTGTTTATATATATTACTCAAATAACCCAGCTGTACAGCACTGTGATGCTTAAATACATGCTTACTGTAAGTAAATGATGTATTTCTGTGATTAAATTTTATTACAGTAATGAGAATTACCATTAGTTAATTTCTTGTTTCTTTTTGATTTTGGGATAGAAAAAATGACACGGATGTTGTGACAGACTGGATTGATAAACATAATGAATTGTCAAAGATTGTTTTGACCAGATTTGATTGTGACCCTTTAAGATGAAGTATGATTTTCAGCATGTTCATCGAGAGATAGAACAGTTTGAGAAGCACCAGAAGAAGATTTCTCTAGCTGGCGGTGAAGCCTTACTCGGGTATGTTTGCATAATGTGGAAAATCTATGAATGCAATCAAACAAACACACAGAAGCTACCCACAGCAGGCTGACACACTGTTCACAGTTGGTTCACTGACCGTCTTAGTCTTATTAATGAAGATATTATCTTCATTAGTTGAGCTCTGGGATGTAACATGTAACTTTACCTGGATTTACAGTGGCCGTGTGACCCATCCAATGAGTACAGGCGACAAAGAGCGGTGGAACAAGGAGTATATCGAGAGCATCCGTCGGCATCTGGAGGAAGACTCTGCTGCCCGGGAACAGAGAGAGATGCGGAGACGACGTGCTCTGATGGAACAACTCCAAGTTCATGAGGCTCAGCAGGTGACCAATGGCGTCGCTTATTTCAAAACTATAAAGCCGACTGCACCATATTTGATTTCTAAAGCCTCTCAATTATCAACATGATCAAAACTTTGCTGGATAGCCTGTTGAACAGGATAGCCTTTGCTGGATAGCCTGTTGTTGCCTGGAAGCCTGTTCAATCTAGTTCAGGCCTTCTGTCGTCTGATTGATAGTGTTTTTTTTTAGAAAGCAAAAGGCCTTTTAGTATAGTTGTAAAAACGTCCCCCCTCAGGTTCCTCATGTGCAAGTCTGTGAAATCTTTAACAATCTTTATAAAGCAAACTTTTATATTGTTAGTAACATTTCAAGATAAACACTTACTGGACTGAAGCAACATCGGTTTACTTGATTATCCATACATCATTTTTAAATAAAAATCATGTTAAAATTGAGTGTCCGATGTGATCAGGCTTTTGAGGAACGTTTATATGTTCATCTCTCAATAGTCATTGCATTTTATGTTTTCCCCCCAATAATTAAAACTACAGAGCTTTGGTCATAAAGCAAAGCATTGAAACATCATCTTACTAAGACTAAGATATTATTGGGAGAATCTTTATATGCAGTTTATGGTACTGTAAGTATCTGATATACTGCTGTAAAGATCTCATTAATTTACATTACAAGCTATCACAATTTTGTCTTAATATAAATATCAGCAACTGCACCAAAATACATATTTTTGAATAAATTTGAGGTGTTGTTTTAGCTCAATATTCTCACTATATCATATTATATGAGTCGGATGTATCAAAAATGATACTCAAAAAAACATTTTTTAGATGTTTTTTTTTTTTTTTTGTCTAAAGGTTCAATAAACTATTCCATTAAAAGAAATAGATTTTTCAGGATTTACAGAGTTAAACTTCAGCTTATGTTAGGAATGCATTACTAGCATAGTGCAGTGGTTAAAGGTGCCTTCTGGGATAAAAAATCAAATCATACACCATATTCCATACCAGATGGGGGCAGTATACCTCCAGAAAAATACCTTCGCGGCCGCGCGCACTCATGTCTTCAAACAACACGGGCGAGCGGGTCTCCCTCGCGCATATTAATCAGTAAAACTAATAGTAAAAGGTTGGAAAACCGCAGTTTCACGTGGATCATTTGGAGTTCCCTTTCAAGGCGGTCACTTCGACATTACGTCATACTGACGTATATGGGAACTACCCCTTTCTCCATTTCCACTGAAATCTTATAGGCTAACGCCAGCTGGAGACAGCTGGCCAATTGACGCAAACATGCAAATGCTGACCGGTCCACGGGCAGTATAAATAGCATGGGCGCGCCAATTGCGTCAGAATCTCTTTCTTCACGCTAGAAGTCTTATTGAAGTCATCGTGGAAGTTGCAATAGAGGTTACTCACCACGTTTCCTCCCCGCATCCGATGGCTGCTACATGCCAGATGTGCGGGTCCTTGACTCGCTCTACCCTACAAGGAATCTACAGAAGCCGCACTCGCGGAACGACAGGTGTGCTGATCTTCCAATGCGCGCCTCAGCAGGGATGAGGCCCACTGCCGCCAGCTGGCCGCTGGTGGGCCCTTACCCGCCAAAGTCGAGTGGACGTCGCTTTCTCGACGCGATAGGCTTCGTCGAAAAGGGATCCTAGCACGGACTCTGTGTTCGGTATCTCAGCCCGCCAATCGGCCCCGAACCCGAATGAACCGGTTCCTCACCGTTGACCAGAGGGCGGGACCGGGAATGTGGCGACTCGGGCCACGGAGAGCGCCGCACCAGACAGTGGGTCCTTCCCTGGCTGCCTCTCGGCACCTGCTCAGGCCTTAAGTGCTGGATTCTGAAATTAACCATGTATTCACAGCTGTTGTCGCTATGCCACGGACGCTGTGTCTATGTGCACGCTGATATGTGCTATATTAACGGTAACGCCAGTGCACCTGGCCAATCTGTTAATCACGATTCACAGTTGTTGTCGCGACGCCACTGACGCTGTGTTTATGTGCACGTTGATATGTCTTGTACTACTGTTGTGCCCTTAAATATTGCCCCGTTTTCCTCAGGCCATTCTCTTCCAATGTATTCACAGCTGTTGTCGCTACGCCACTGACAGTGTTTAGGTGCACGCTATGTGCTTTAACAGTAACTTAGTGCTACTGGCCATTCTGTTTATCCTATGTGTTAATCACGATTCACAGTTGTTGTCGCTACGCCACTGAAGCTGTGTTATGTGCACACTGTTAGGTGGTAATATTACTAACAGTGCAGTTGAGCGGCCGCGCCGTCCTCGAGCCCCGTCCCCGGGTGCCTCGAGCGGAGCGAGTCCCGTGTCTTTCCCCCATCAGGGCGGTTCCATTCTGATTAATCACGTATTCACAGCTGTTGTCGCTACGCCACTGACACTGTGTTTACTCGCAATGCGCACGGATATGTGCTGTGATTTGTGCCATTATATAGTGCCCTGTTCCTTCAGTGCATATGGCTTTTCTATTACTAACGTTACGTGTTCACAGCTGTTGTGCGATGTATTGATAACGCTGTTATTATGTGCACGCTTCACACTGATGTGTTAACATGATTCATGCCGCTAAAATTGCCCTGTATCTTCAGTGCAACTGGCTTCTGTTCACGGTTGTGCTATGCACTGACGCTGTGTTATTACACTGTTATGTGTGTTATGATGTGCCACGATATTGCTCTGTACCTTCAGTGCAACTGGCCAGTCTGATTACTATGTATTCACAGTTGTTGCGTTGCCGCTGTTATGTGCACTCTTATGTGTGTTCTTTGCCACGATATTGCCCTGTGCCTTCAGTGCAGTTGGCTATTCTGATTACTACATTTTCACAGTTGTTGTGTTGCAACGGGCGCTGTGTTACGTAAGCACTTCACACTGTTATGTGTAGGATTTATGCCAGTATTCTTGCCCTGTATACTTCAGTGCAAATGGCTATTCTAATTACGAAGCAGTGTGTATTCATAGTTGTTGTGCCATGCAACTACGCCGTGTTATGTATTCACTACACTTGGTATGTGTTGAATTTGCCATTGTATATTGCCCTGCTCCTTCAGTGCAAATGGCTATTGTATTTCTACATATTCACAGTTGTGGCGCGATGCAACTACGTTTTTACAAGCTACACTGTTACATGTAATGATTTATGCCTTATATATTGCCCTGTGCCCTTCAGTGCAAATGGCTATTCTATTACTACACTGTGCATATTCACAGTTGTCGTGTGATACAACGGGCGCCGTGTTTATGTACACTCTACACTCTGTGGTGTTATGATTATGCCGCTGTACACTGCCCTGTGTCCTTTAGTGCAAATGGCTATTGTATTACTACATATTCACAGTCGTTGCGCGATGCGACTACGTTTTACAAGCTACACTGTAACACACTGTTACATGTAATGATTTATGCCATTATATATTGCCCTGTGCCCTTCAGTGCAAATGGCTATTCTATTACTACACTGTGCATATTCACAGTTGTCGTGTGATGCAACCGGTGTCCTGTTGATACCCACTCTACACACTGTGGTGTTATGATGTGCTAATGGCTATTCTGATTATGTGCACAGTTGTGCGTCACAACTGACGCGGGGTACATGCTAAAGCTCACTGATGTGTTATGGTTACGCCGTTAATTTTGCCCTGTATCCTCAGTGCAACCGGCTATTCTGATGCAGCTACTATGTATTCACAGTCGATGTCGCTATGCCTCTGACGCAGTGTTTTTGTGCACACTAATGTCACTATGCTATCGCGTTGCCCTGTATCCTTCAGTGCTCCATGGCTATACTATCCAACTGTGCCTAGTCACAGTTTTTTCGCTACGGCGACTTGCGCTGTTTGCGCGCACACTAAAGCGTAATGCTGTTATGTTGCCAACGTAACTGACCACAGTGAACACATGGCCGAGTGGTAGCACTTTCGGTTAGAACATATAATGACATGGGTTCGAAGCCCGATTAAAATGATGTTGTTCTGCACATATTCATGCAGTTTCAGTCGCTTCGGTGGCCCGCACCGAATTTTTCCCACGGATGTTTAAGTGTACACACTGTTGGGTTATGCTGTTATGTTCTCTTCCTCAGTGCAACTACCAGCTACCCTCTAACTGCATATTCAGTTTTGTTGCTATGGCGACTACACTGCACGTACAAGGACGTGTTTTTTGCTATTCTTGCTCTGTCCCTTCAGTGCAAAACTAGCTATTCTATCTAACCATGCATTCCACAGTTCTGGATGTATGTACGTGGTACGTGACGGAGGTTTATGCTGTTTGCTGCCTTGTTCCTCAGTGCAGCTTGCCATCCTATTTACTTGCATCTTAGTTCTGTCTACACAGTTCTGTCGCTACAGCGACTTACGCTGCATATACAAATGCAAGGATGTGACACTTATGTTATGCTGTCTGTTGCCCTGTATCTTCAGTGCAACTAGTTATCCCAGTCAACTGTGCATTTCACAGTCTCCGATAGGTGGCTGCGATGTAATATCTACACGTGGATGTATTCATGAACAGCGGTGTTGCCCAGTGTCCTTTAGTGCCTATACTGAGCTATCTGCGTTCAATGAGGGAGCTACGGCTACCGATGCTGTTACGTGCATGTGCTACGCTGTTATGTTGCCTCCAGTGCAACTGGCTATTCTACTTTGAATAGACTGACCCTATTCTATTTCTGACTGCGTATATTCACAGTTGTTGTTGCTATGGCCAATGACACTGTGTTTATGTACACTCAGTATGTGTTGATTGCACTTCTTACATTGGCTTGGAACATCGCTATGTCCTACAAGGAAGTGTCAGTTTCTCGTAACCCGCTTGCTGGAATGGAAGAGGGCAAGTGTGGAGGTGGCAAACACATAAGACGCCTGCTGGTGATCAGACCGTCGTGAGTTCCACTCAGAGTCTCTCTGGGTGGGTATATATAATCCAGATTGCGCCGTGCCGCGGTGGAGCTCTGGAAGTACTAGACCTTCAGGATAAAACAGGCTGGTTTTCTGGAAGTGCACCCCAGAGCAGGGTGCAGCTTTCCTGGGCTTGAGACCAGCGCACATGCCGGATTGGGCGATGGTGGTGTCAATATGAAAACTTTAAAACTTATCACCCCCGGTTCACGGACTTGTGAGTTATGGGGGGCCTACGACAATCCCCCTCGGGAAGATTCTGTTCTACAGACGATTGGCACTCCTGCCCTCAGCTGTGGAACCTTCGTATGTGTCTGCTGCTGAGTCCATAGTTGAGCAAGACACTTCACACTAACAAGTGCTCAGACGAAGCTCTCCCTGAGATGGCCTTACCACCGGCTCTCGCCCAGCGAGCACTTGGAATCCTACGCTCATTCTAGTGACTGATGTCGCATCGTCTTGGACCTGGTGACTGCAGCGTCAATCTCCGTTCGATATCTAGCTACGTTCCGAAGTTGCTTACACCGTTCAGAGCACAGGTGGATCTCTGCCCGCATTATCAGCTGAGCTGTTAGCCTCGCATATGCCGATGCTCAGAGTGATGTTGGCCCTGTAGAGATTTGTGATCTGTAGGGCAGCAGGCTGACAAACCGCTGTTTGTGTGCTTGATGGATGGTTCTAGGGACGTGCTTTTTTATACAGAGACTCTTCTCTGATTTCAACGCTTTGTTTGCTTAATACCTTCGGGATTAGGTTGCTGGCTGTCTTCTCGGAACTCGTTCAGGGTTCAAGTTTGTCGATCCGCCTATAGCGTTGTGGGTTCAGTGAGTTATTTTGAACTCATGGAACTGTTACCATCAACTGTGCAGTAGTCTTTTTGCAGGGTTACCTTTGCTGCTAACTCTGTGTGTGGCTACTTGGTTATGCAGCTGTCACCGCTATGCTGTTGTCACTGTATTAACTCTTTGCTTTAGTGCTTATGGTGTTGTGCTGCCCTGTCAAGTGCAGCCTTCGCTTCTTTGCATTGGATGTGCAACTTGGTAATGTAGGAGCAGACGTTGGTCTAGTTCGCCTATCCGTTGAGTGCTCCAAGCGGCGTGGCTGGCTTAGAACTGTTGTTTCCTGGGGAGTGTAGCTTGACCCTGTCAGGGCTTATCTTCACTGCGCTCACGGCGGGATTCTATACAGTTCCCATATACGTCAGTATGACGTAATGTCGAAGTGACCGCCTTGAAAGGGAACGTCTCCGGTTACTATCGTAACCTCGGTTCCCTGAGAGGTGGGAACGAGACATTACGTCAACCGCCGTGCTCACCGTTTGATCAGCTGTGCCAGCGTTCAGTCGTGATTCTGACGCAATTGGCGCGCCCATGCTATTTATACTGCCCGTGGACCGGTCAGCATTTGCATGTTTGCGTCAATTGGCCAGCTGTCTCCAGCTGGCGTTAGCCTATAAGATTTCAGTGGAAATGGAGAAAGGGGTAGTTCCCATATACGTCAGTATGACGTAATGTCTCGTTCCCACCTCTCAGGGAACCGAGGTTACGATAGTAACCGGAGACGATTTCCAGAGATTAGAGACTAAATGAACAACATCTCAATACTAAATTATAAAGGCCGTCTCATAGACAAGCCGGTGCATTTTGACGATATGGGAAAATTAAAGCCCGGGCATTTTTAGTTTATGGTATTCGTTTTGTTCATGTTACATTTTTTATCATTAGTTTGAATTAATTTGACAGACAGCATTCCCTGATGTGGACTCTCACAAATTGACCGTGAGACACACAAGTTTTCACACACTCTCACGCCACATCCATTTTGTCATGCACAGAAAAGGACACAGAGACCGATCTCAGCTCCTGTTAATTTTATTACGCAATTCAAACAATAAATGCAGTTTTGCCGCTTGTAAATGTTAGACGACAGATCCCTAGCGCACGTGAACCGATCATCTCTACTAGCTAATGTTAATGGTAAAAGAACACGAACACTGTTGAAAGATATGTTACAACTTACCAAAATGTATTCTCATGCATTTTATCGACCAATCATTTATTTAACTCATCCCTGAACTGAAATTTAGTAGTGGGCTGTATTTCCACAGAGCCCGTTCTCATCCCAAAGCGCCATATAGGACGCTTTTGCAAAAGCGTAAATATCCAACGCACATGGCACCCTTTAACGTCAAATGAGACGCAGATATATTTGGGCAGAAGGCGCCCCCTAGTGGTCTAACCCTTACCCTACACCATACCTAAACTTAACCATAACCGAAGCGTCTCATTAGACGTTAAAGGGTGCCATGTGCGTTGGATATTTACGCTTTTGCAAAAGCGTCCTATATGGCGCTTTGGGATGAGAATGCGTTGTTCCACACGACATCACGACATGACATCAGGTTCAAGTACACACAAGCCGGCGCGACTTACTCGTGTTACTGCAGTTTGAGTGTCAAACTTTATGCCCGCTGTGCGTTTTGATCATAAATAGTGCTGATATTTGTCTGCAGGAGGTATTGCGAGAGGAACAGATGGTCAGTCGTTTGATGCGTCAGACGCAGCAGGAGAAGAGGATCGTCGTGCAGCTGATGCAAATAAAACAGCAGAAAGAGGTACTTCGACAAAACCGGATCTTCCAAGAGAGACAATACCAGGAACGCCGCCTTCGAGACTTCCAAGAGGCCTTGGATAGAGAAGCTGTGAGAGAATACACACACACACATATGCACAAACAAAACAACCCACAAGGGTTTTAAGAGGTTTTGATCATGATTGTCCCATCACTGCTGCCGTCCAGGTTCTCGCCCAACAGGAACGCCTGGAGCGCAGCGAACAGATCAGGATGGAGCATGAGCTACACAAACAGCTAGTCGCCGAGCGCGTTCAGGCTCGCTATCGCAAACACTTCGACATCTGCAGAGGAATTCTGGGACAGATTGTGGATCTGGCTACAAAAGCTGGAGAATATCGGCTTCTTACATCCAAGTATTTATGTCCCTGATCACTCTACTAAACAGCAGTCATGGAGTTTAAAAAGCTCATGTGATGAAAAAGAAACATTTTCTTGCTATTTGAAATAAAAAAAAAGAGTTCAGTGTGTGTACAATAACTTCTTAGTGCATTTTAAAAAATTATCAAGCATAGTTGTTAAATTGTATTATAATATATATATATAATACAATACAATTTAACAACTTATAAATATATAAAACCTAAATTGTTTTAGATAGACACTACTTTATGAAAGTGTAGAGTCAGAATTTTTTTAAATCTTTTTGAATGAAGTCTCTTATTTTTTTTAATCACAAATATAGTAAAAACAGTCAAATTGTGAAATATTATTTTAAATTAAAATGATTGTTTTCTATATAAATAAACTCCTTTGGAGTAATGATGCTGAAAATTCAGCTTTGCATCAGTCGTCAGTGTCACATGATCCTTAAAAAAATCATGCTCATTTTCTGCTCAAGATTTTCCTTATTATTTTTAATGGTGAAGATACTTATGCTTACATGTTTTACTTTTGATCATCAAATACATCCTTGCTAAATAATAATAGATTTATACTGACCCCAGACTTTTGAACGACAGTGTGTGTAAGGAAATAATATGGTGGGTAAAAGCAAACAGCCATCTTCACTCTTTCTCAGTCTGATCCCAGTGAAGCTGATGCAGGAGTGGATGGAGCTGTTTTTCAGTGGTAAGCCGCTGTATGAAGTGGCCAGTGTGCTGCCCACCCCTACTGACCCCACACCAGAACAGATCATTGAGCTGGAGAAGCTTCAAATACTCAATAATCAAGACTACAACGAGTATGTGGTACGTATTTGGAGCTCATATCATCTCTGACCATTCATTCTTTTGAAAACCATGTAATTGTTTCCTATGAAATTCCTATGAATGTACATGGCAGTGCAAGTATTCTTTCTGTCTGTTCACTTCAGGCCATGATTGGTGAGTGGATTTTGGATGAAGAAGGCGAGAGTCGAGCCTCACCAGTGAAGAATGATATTCTGGATCATGTGTTGAGTCGTCTACAGAGCATGATAGACCGACCCAGTGCCAGCAGTCCTCGTCCTCTGTTTCCCCGTTTCACCATCAGAGCGTGCATGCTGGGAAAAACCCTCTCGGGAAAAACCTCCTGCCTCTCCAGGATCAGCAACGGTAGGAGTTGATGCTTCACCATATAAGAGCTGTATTGGAAGGAAAAGTGGTATGATGCATCAGAACTGTATTAACTAAATTTTATTTGTTTATTTATTACAAGGACAGTGCATATTAACATGACAAGTCAAAATATGCCAGAGTTAGCCAAAAGGCTAGTTTTCATCTGCAGTCCTGGGCCAGATGTACAATAGGCAACCTAAAAATACAATATACATACAACAATTATAATTAAAACATAACAAACCAAAACAACTACAAACCCCCCCCCCCCCCCCCCCAAAAAAAAAAAAACAAAAAAAAAAACAATAGAATAAAAAAATCAATGTTGACATATTTGCATGCTAAAAAGCCACATTTTAAAAGAAGAACGAAATTCATTATAACTATTTAATTCTCTAACAGACATTGGGATTGTCATTCCAAATTTCCTGACTTGCTGTTTGTATCTTTGGGAATTAGGTCTTGGGTTCCATGTGCTCTCAGCCAACGCTTTGATCCAGGATGCTCTATCAGAATATCAGAAGGAAAAACAAGTTGCGATTGAAAGCCAAAAAGCGTCACAGGTCAGGAAAACTTATTTCAGTTAATACTCTTAAGTTTCTTGAGGTAGAAACTCAACAGAACTGGTCAGATTTTTCAACAAAACCTTTATTAGAAACATTAAACATTTTATTTACTCCATTATTTACACTTTTTCTCCCATGTTGGGGCTGACCATGTATTTGCCTTGCTCAGAAGAACCTGGAGAGAAATGGGCCTCCGACAGAAGGAGTTGAGCAGCCTGAGAGAGATGAAGAGAAGGAGACATCCTCTCCTCCAGAGTCAGGTTTGTGAGAATATTAGACAATTTCTAAAACTCACATTATTTACACTATCATTCTAAAGTTTGGGGTCAGTAAGATTTTTTTTGGGGGGGAAAGAATACTTTTATTAATCAAGGATGCATATAGTTCAGCCTTTCTCAAAGTGGGTGCCGCGGCACACTGGGGTACCCCCTAGCTGTGTCAGGGGTGCCGCCAAAAAATTACGTAGGCTAAAAAAAATGTGAAAAAAAAAAAAAAACCAGAAAAAAAACCAGCTGACATTTCATATATAAATATATTTGAATTTAGATATTTACATTCTTCTTTTTAAACATATGAACATATTAATAAAATTGTAAATTCATTTTAGATAAATATCTAAAATTAATCATAAAAAAATCCGTCTCACAAGACCGAAGCAAGACACACACAACTTGACGCAAGTGACGCAATCCATAGCAACGCGTTATAGCAACACCTCAGACTGACAGAAACGTAAAAATAAACGTGAATTTAGGCCACTTTAGTTACAGCATTATGGGTCGTTTTTTGAAAAGAAAATCCCCACAAGAGCCGGGGATTTTTATTTTATTTTATCTGCATCCTGCACTTCATTTGAGTTCTCCTGGTCTGGATTTGTTATTGGGTTCTTGTATTGGGCGGTCCACCTCTTACGGTTTTATGGCATTTGTGTCTCTGATTAATTATTTTGTGAATTACTTTGCAAACCTGTGTTTTTAAAGGTGCTATAAAGTTTTTTATTATTATTGTTATTTACAGTTCATATTATGCTCTGTTCATTACTGTTCTGTCTAACTAAACAAGACATTTGCATTTAAATTTGGGTTATGCAGTGTTTTTAAATTATATTTTACACTGGGGTGCCTTGAGATTTTATGCACTTTTGAAAGGTGCCCTAACTGAAAAAAGTTTGAGAAAGGCTGATATAGTTGATTGAAAGTGATTGTAAAGACATTTAATGTTACAAAAGAATTTGAATTTCCGTGTCTCGCCAGAAGATGGCGCTCACAGCCAAATCATCCATTCATCCATTTTCCAAACCGCAGGTTTAATGTGGCTTTTTAATTAATTATAAATCTTTTTTAATTAAGGTTTATACATGATAGTTTCCATGACAGAGTTCAAAATAATTCTTTTCTTACTACTGGAGCTGCTCACTCAGTGTCTGAATTCACTCACTTGTTTTCATCCTTCAAGTGGAGTAAAGTAGGGAATAGTAAATGAGGCTATATGGGGCGATTTTGAACAATTGAAAGAAAAATAGATCACGGTTTCCACAAAAATATGAAGCAGCACAAGTGTTTTCAACATTGATAGTAAGAAATGAATGATTAAAATGATTCCTGAAGGATCATGTGACACTGAAGACTGATGCTGGAAAGTCAGCTTTGAACACAAGAATAAATTATTAATTTATAATTTTGTTTATGTATCATGTATGCATCATGTACATTTATCCCATTAATTTAACAGTGTATTAGTTATTTGGTACTCTATAAATGCTCTATACTAACCCCAAAAACCCAATAAAGAAAAGGTTTAAAAAGAATAATGATAGTATCTACTATAGAAATGCTCACTCAAGTTCCAATAGTAATCGTCTCTTTTATCTCACACATCAGGACTGCAAAAGGCATCCGGACTTCAGGAAAAAGAAGATAAAGAAAAGGTAAAAGCAAACACATAGCCACTCTCCATCTGTATTATCAGCATTAGGCTCTTTGATATGGTTCATGATGCTCAATGCTGTGTTGTGCAGTGGTCGTTGCGAGCGCAGTGTGGTGCAGCGGTAGAGAACGCTCTTAGGACGGGAAAAGCTGTTCCTGATCAACTTCTGGTCGACATCATAGTGGATGCTATCAGGTAAAGAGCTGTAATGCTTATTTATAAATAATGCTTTAACAATTTGTTTTTTGCACATTAAAATTAAAATAAATAATTAATTTAAACAAGTTAAAATAAATGTTTGATTTACTGTATATTACATCACTACAAAACACTCTCTGGAATATTTGATTCTGACTCGTTGATCCCAAGATATTTTTTTGGGGTTTATATATTCTGCATAATATTTCCAATGTCCCATATTTAGGATGAGATGACAATTCTGTATACATGTACAGTTAGCCAACTGATATAAATTGAGTACAGTTCAGCTGGTCATGTGATCATGGAACTTTTGGTGAATTAACAAATTAATAATGAATTATACAGCTACTATAAGTGTATGCCTATGCAGAACCTGATTTCACCAAGTGAAACATGTTCCTTGATCAACATATTTGTTGATCCTGGAACAACATTCCAATCAACCAATCAGATTTGAGGGAAAAGTTTACAGTTTATGCCAAGTTTAGGCTTACAAACAGGGTTAGGTGCTTCTACATCAGTGTTATTCACTATCATTTCCCTCTAACTTATGGGTCGGGTTAGGCTTATGGATCGGGCCAGGACCAAATTTTCGGACAGGAACGTTGTTCCAAGATCAACTAAATATGTTGACTCAGGAACGGGTCACTAGGATGTGCTATACCTAATGTATATAGTAAATCTCTACCACTAGATTGCTATATAATTGGAAAATCAATGTAAACTATATTATTGCACAGCTCTATATATAAAGTTGGATACAAAAGTATGTCCAACTTCATCCGCATACATACAGTATTCTTGTGTAGGGCGCTATAGCAAATCTCAATGGCTTTATTGCATACACGTATCGTCGTAAAATGTAAACTCACCCAGCTTTAATATGCTAAATACAACTATAAGGCATGAAGTTCGTTCACACCTTGAACGATAGAGATATATTTCTAAAAATCATTCTAATATAAAAGAATAGCAGAGTCTATACACCCACAACTCTAATAATAAGATATTATAAACACTTAACATCACGATTTTCTAAAAATTAGCTTTGAAGCAAATGCATGTTATGAAAAGTGCTAGATAGATACATTTGACCTGACTTGACTTGTAGATAGTCTAGTTCTTTAAAAAACAGTTTGATCCCTCCTGCCTTGTTGTTCAGGAACATCCCTGCTGATAGTGGCTGGATTCTTGACGGGTTCCCAGTGGACATCAGTCAGGCTCAGATGCTGGAGAAAGCTCTGAACGGGACAGAACCTGATGAGACCCAGACAAAAACACAAAGCAGCTTATCCACAGATAAAAACACTCCTAAAGATCCAAGTCCTCCCTCCCCTGCACTGGACGTAGTGGTGCTGTTAGATGTTTCAGATGAGCAGGTTCTGCAGCGAGCCGTGAGCCAGGACGGTGAGTTTATGCAGATTGAAATACTAGATGTTATCAAGTTATCAACTTTAACAACATGACAGACATTGTTGGTTTTATCTGTGCTATCTTCACTTATTAGTAGACGGGGAGAGCAGAGGGCAGGAGAGAGAAAGCAGTGATGGTCTAGACGAAAAAACAAGTATAACAGATCTGGCCACACAAGATCCAGCATCCATATCTGATGACAAAAGCCTGGGGACGAAACAGATGCAGCACAGGTGTGTGAAAACACGCGGTGGTATATATTTACAATATATAGACATTACACACAATTACAGTTGAATAGATAACAAGCTTGAACTTAAACATATGTTACCAGTTTCAAGGAAAATAGATGGTAACACTTTATTTGAAGGGGTGTGCATAAGACTGACATGACACTGTCATAAACATGACATAACACCTGTCATGAACATGAAGGAGTCTTTATGAATGTTTATGACTTTTGTCATTAAGTGTCATTCGGTAAATTATGACACTTTTAATGCAAAGTTGACATTGTTTAATGACTTTGTTATGACAACTTGACATTAACAAAGACAAAAATGTCTTGATTATGACAACTTGACATTAACCAAGAAATCATAACCTGTCAACCTGACATCTTTATAACTAGTCCAACGTGTTCCACTTTACTTGAGGTAAGGGGAGATATTAATGACACTGTTGGTAAAGCATTTGACAGTGTAATAACCCTTAATGACATCTTTATAACTAGTACAATGTGTTCCTCTTTACTTGAGGACAAGTAAAATATTCATGACACAGTTATAATGGTGTCATGATGGCCAAAGTCAAAACCAACCACATATGACAGGGTAATGTAATGTTAACGCAAAGCTAAATAACTTCTTTAGGTTTGATCATTATACCTGTTATGACATATTTTGACAGGTTATGATTTCTTGGTTAATGTCAAGTTGTCATAATCAAGACATTTTTGTCTTTGTTAATGTCAAGTTGTCATAACAAAGACATTTTAAACAATGTCAACTTTGCATTAAAAGTGTCATAATTTACCGAATGACATTTAATGACAAAAGTCATAAATATTCATAAAGACTCCTTCATGTTCATGACAGGTGTTATGTCATGTTTATGACAGTGTCATATCAGTCTTATGCACACCCCTTCAAATAAAGTGTTACCAAATAGATTAACATTTGATATAACATGATCAACATTAACATGATCCAGGGATTCTAGGCAAATCCCGATGTATAAAATGAAGTTCCATCTGACATTTTGTCTTCTTATTGAATGCTATTTCACTTGAAAAAAGTAATATTATGGAGAAACAATATTGTGACTTTCAGATTTTTTTAAAAGTTATTTCTAAAGCACAAAATGATCATAATTTGGTTTTCTGTTATGTTTTTTTTTAATAGAATTAGTGGGTTCCATGACACATGGCCAAAACTGGAGAAATGGTTTGGTGATCAGCAGAATATTCTTGTAAAAATCACAGCAGATGTAGATGAGGAAACTCTCTTCAAAAACGTGGAGAATGTTCTGATGGACACTATGGATTCTGTTGAAAAAGGTATATCGACTTGCTTCGACTGCTTAACTTTGTAAAGCATGACGTGTTTCTAATGAATATAGTGTTTGATACACTCTATAATGAGAGTATGGAGCTCAGTTTTATTCAGAAGCCCAAACTTAGCAAAAAATTAGATGATATTTTAAATGCTTAGTTTTATGACCAAAGCTCTGTAGTTTTTATTGTGGGGTAAAAACATATAATGCAATACAATGATGATTAAGAGAAAAGCCTGATGGATCATATTTGATATTTACATTTTTACATGGCATCTAAAACATGATATATGGTAAATCAAGTGTTCATCTTGAAATATTAATTACAATATAAAAGTTATTCTTACATTTGCTTGAAAAATCTGTAACGATTTCACAGCAAAAAGAGATATGAACCACAACCTCAACAACTATTTGTCTTTTTACAATTATAGTAAAAGGAATTTCACTTGCTAAAAAGTATAAGCTATCAATCAGACGCTAGAAGGCATGTAGTCGATTGTGTGTAACATTTTTCTGCAAATATGAGGCTTTATAGGGCTAAACTTCTGCTCTTCTCTACAATTTTCTGCAATTAATTCCGTTTTAATTGGTACTTGTTCAAACATGTTGTAGACATTTTCCATCCTTACCTACAACTTTAACATTATTGATGTGCACCTTGTGTAAATGCATCTCTAGTGAAGTGTGCTCTCTGCCCTGACCCATAGAAGCAGCTCTGGTTCACTCCAGGAAAATGTCTTCCTCACCCGAACACAGGCGTCCAGAAAGTGCCTGCTCTGGGAAGTCTTCACCAATGACCCCAAAATCTGCTGGAAGGGTCTATGTGGAGGAACCCTTACCCAAGGCACATACACACACAAAACACACCTTCTCTCAAAAAACTGGCAGATGCTTCCATTAAACATGGAAAAATGACACTCAAAGAGTCTGTTTGATCTATTTTTTATCAGTTTGATTCTGGTTTCTACAACCAGTAGATCGTTTTTACAAAGACTTTTGCTGATAATTTACTCACCCCCATGTCATCCAAGATGTCCATGTCTTTCTTTCTTCAGTCGAAAAGAAATTAAGGTTTTTGATGAAAACATTCCAGGATTTTCTCCATATAATGGACTTCATTGGGAACCAAACGGTTCAAGGTCCAAATGAGAGTTTCAGTGCAGCTTCAAAGAGCTTTAAACGACACCAGATGATGAATAAGGGTCTTATCTAGCGAAACGATCGCTCATTTAAAAAATAAATAAAAAAGTTTAAGTTTTATAAGCTCAAATGCTCGCCTTGCTCTGTTCTGTGATGAGCGTCCGTGACTCTCCTGTTCGAACTCGTTCATCGAAACGAACAAATCTTTTTTTGAGTCATTTGGTTCGTTCAACGAATGAAATGACTCGAAAAAAAGATTTGTTCATTTTGATTTTTGCAGTTCAAATTTTTTAATTTTGGAGTCCATAAGATTTATTTTGAAATGTTTTTGAAAGAAGTCTCTTAAGCTCACCAAAGCTGCATTTATTTGGTAAAAAAAAATACAGTAAAAAAACTTGATATTGTGAAATATTATTAAAATTTAAAATAAGTAAAAGCTGAATTTTCTGCATCATTACTCGAGTCTTCAGTGTCACATGATCCTTGAGACATCATTCCAAAGCAGTGGTGCTGCTTAATATATTTAAAGAAATCATGATGCATTTATTCAAGAATTTTTGATGAATAGAAAGGTATTTATATTAAACTCAAATTTAATATAAACATCTAAGACTGTATAGTTCAATGGTTGCAACAACTAAACTGAAACATTTTTGGCACACAAAAAGTATGAAATGATCCATTTACATCATGTCAGTTTTTGTGTTTTTCTCTTATGTTCATCTTTTTGCAGGAGATTCCAGAGTATCTTGTTCCGTACTGGGAGAACGTCTGTGTTTCATATGTGACTAACGTCAAAACAGTGATCCAGAACCTCCGCGGTGAACGCGAGCTCATCATTCACCACCTCTACAACACCCGGTGAGAGAACAACGCTCGCCTGTGTGTGACGTGAGGCTCTGTGAATGTGTGTGTGAGTGTATGACGTGTGTGTGTTTCAGGGAGAACTTCAGGCAGTACTTACAAAAGCCGGATCTGAAGCAGGAGTTTGTAAGCGCATGGCAGCGTGATTATAACGGCGTTCCTGACAACATCAGAGAGGATGAGGAGACCAAAGGAGAGCTCCATCAAAGACTGGATGTGAGACGCTCCTGAACTGCAAAAAAATGATTTTCTTCCTCAATATTTTTGTCTCGTTTTCCAGTACAAATATCTAAACATTCTTAAATCAAAAATCAAAATCCATTTCTTTAAAAATAAAAATGACATCAGATATAAAGACTTTATGCTTAAAACAAGTGAAGAAAAATAAAATAAACTACATAAATTGATTATCTTATACTTTATTGACTATAAAATCACTTAATTTTAACTCAATATGTACAAATACATATTTCAGAAGACCCAATATTGCTTCTCAAGCCAGTATATCTTGATATAAGAATGTGTACTGAAAGACAAGACTAAAAAACTTGGTTAAATCATTTTTGTAGCGTAACTTGTAAAAAAAAAAAAAAAAAAGACGTTTCTGCAAGTTTGTATTTTGACAGGCAAAAAAAACCCATTTCAACACAGATGTACAAAACCATAAATCATGTGTTTTATGTGACGATATATGCCGTATATTTATTTGCAGTAATAAAACAAGGAAATACATGTTATATTTGTTAAATACATGTTAAATACATATATGTTCAATATTTTTCAAGTATATCAGTACTTTTGATGTTACATGTTAAAAATCAATCAAAAAACGTCATTTTATTTGATGGAAAAATAAAAAATTAACAAGCAGTATAGTGCAAAGTGTTGACAGATGCCAAAGTTTTGGTGCAATTTTAAACATTTTTAACATTTTCAGTGAGCATTTGTTTGCTGCAGGGTTATCACAAATTAGCCACAAATAAGTTTCAAACTTTCATTCTAATGAGTGTGTGTTTTCATTTTGTGCAGGACTTGCGTGAGCGTCTGTGGGACATCTGTGATAAACGCAAGGAAGAGGCGGAGCAAGAGAGAGCAGGAGTCATTGATGACGGCTGGTTAGATGATCACACTGCTGTACTAATCAACCAATATTCTGCATTAATGCAGGTAACACACACACACACACACCTCTAACACTTCACAAACCTGTCTGGGATGAGTTTGAAGTCTAATGGTTCTGTGTGTGTGTACAGATAGAAGTGGGCCGCTTTCAAGACTCCCTGTGTCTGCTGAGAGATTATTATTCAGCGATGTGTAAAACTGCATTTCCTGAATCCACACGTGACTTCACTCGCGTCCCATTGCTTGACATCACTGCAGAGGAGCATGTTGAGCAAGAGGAGTCAAAAATGTAAAATGAAGCATTACACATCATGATTTATCTCATAAATGTATGACTTTATGGCTGTGTTTAGAATAGCATTTACCAGTTTTGCAGTATGCATGCTAATTTCACCTATTTGCCTACATGTCCAGTATAAAACAAAGCATAGTGTGTGGAATATCGTATCCCAATATTAATTTTGTCACTTTCCAGTGTGACAAAATTCATATTTTTATCATACTACCAAGAGGTGATACTTGGTCAACACTTGCAGAGCTAAATATGTTCATGCTTAAACAGACTCTAAGGAACCACACTAAGAGACCTGACATGTTCAAATATTATACACTCTTATTTCAGCGCTGGCCCTGCGCTGTTAGAAAAACCTGTAAGGAGTGCTGAAGAAAAAGACTGTGAAATGGAGGACAAGAAGAAAATTAAATCGTATGTGTGCTTAGAATTTTGTCTTTGTGTGTGTTTAAAAAATAAGCATGTGTGTTGAATAATTGGATGTGTTTGTGCTGTCAGGTTTCCGTTGGTTTCCTGCAGATCTCCCACTTCTGAGCTTCTCCACCATCCCGATGAGAAACTCCTGCAGGAGTTCTTCCAGAACGCACTCACCGCCGTTAGGAACATGGTGTGTGGGTTATTAAAAAATATATAATCATCTTTTTACTGTTGTTTTTACTGTCACTGATATACATCATCTGACTGACAAATTTAATTTGTTTATCCAAAAGCAAAACCAGCAAAAGCATCTTTTAGTTATGGCAAGAGGAATTCATGATGTAGTTCAGAAGAATGAAATATTCATAATCATGTTCAAATAGGAGTGTGATTGCAGTCGTAAATCCTTGAAATGCCATTTTTGGGAACTCAAATCAATAAACAAAACTGTAAACATTTGAAGAGTTCAGATGCAAAAGCCTCTAAATGCCATTTTAAATTTTCTTCTAAAATGACCATTTTTATCAAGATTGTATATTTAAGTTCAGTAATTTCACTTAAATAACATTTAATAGGTAATCTTCATTGCCATTTAAGTGAAATTACTGAACTTAAATATACAAGCTTGATAAAAATGATCATTCTAGAAGAAAATTTCAAATGGCACTTAGAGGCTTTTGCATCTGAACTCTTCATTTAGAAATTGGGTCAAAATGCAGATGAATAGAGCATCTATTTAATTTGATTGAAAAAAAAAAATGGTTTAATGCCATGCAAATTTGTTTATACTTACAGTATGCTATAACAGAGAAAGCCAATTTAAAAACTCTCAATTACAACTCAATTATTGCATTATTTGCTATTTTTAATTTTATAATTTCTATAATGTTGGTTACTAATTTGAATTAATTGTTCATAAACCATTTAAAAGTTTGGGCTCAGTAATCATGATAATAATACTTTCATTCTTCCAGAATTCTGTCAATTATATTAGAATGATTTCTGACGGATCATGTGACACTGAAGAAAATTCAGCTTTTCCATCATAGAATTACACTTAAATCTGTCTTTAAATCGCTTTTATAAATCATCTGTCTTCTTCATGTGTGTTTGCACACAACTGTGTTTCAGGTGTTGGCAGAGACGCAGCGAGAAGAGGAAGGTGATGAAGAACAGAAGCCCATAGAGACACCACAGACTTCAAACTCTGCTACGGACCGTAAGAAAGCAGGGAAAAAGAAAGGTGAAGACCCTCCACTCCATCATACGTATGAGTTTCAGCACTGGTGTGTGTTGACATGAGGGTGTGTGTGTGTTTTAGGTGCTCCCACCCCTCCTCAGGTGCCCAGTCCTCTGCCCACAGTGGTGCAGAACCCTGAGGAGGTCAAGAGGAAGGCAGAGAGGAAGAGAATCAAACTGGAGTTCACATCCGCACTGAAACGTGAAGGTACGCCGTGAGCTTTTGGCCGACATCGTCTCATGGTTTTGTATATCACTGTGTATATCAACAGTACTGAGTTTTATGATATGTAAACAGTCAGAATGTGATGTGTGTGTGTGCAGAACATGCGGTGAAGCTGCGTTTGGATCTGGTGAAGGCTCATGCGCTGAGAAACGTGAGCAGTCTTCAGCTGAGAGCGGAGCAGGTCTACAGGAACATGGAGGAGTGGCTGGGAGCTCGCTTTCTGTCTGAGATCAACAGGTGAGAGGAGGAGGACACGGTCTCGGCTTTCTGGAGTGTAATCCATTTAGCTGAAGAGATGAAAGATGATTGTACTTATAAATGGCTGAATATCACAAATAAATGGATCGTATGTCACTCCCAAAACCACAATATAAAGCAAAAAAAAAAAAAAAATTGCTAAAAAAGAAAAACAAAACTATTATTACTAACAAATTATTAATTAAGATTAGCATAAATATAATTTACTACAACAAACTGTGATTTATACAATTTTGTTTTGCAATATAAATTCTTAGTCAACTAATTTTTTATATTTTAAATATACTTAAGCTATACAATATAGGCCAAAAGTTTGGAATAATATATATATATTTTTAAATATTTTCTTAAGGTTTTTGCAAAAAGGTTCTTATGCTCGCCAAGTCTGCATTTATTTAATAAAAAGTATTGGGATTTTTATCACAATATTAATGTTAGTAATATTGTCATTTTTATTTCAATTTAAATGAAAATGTAATTTAAGCCGCCTTCAGTGTCATATGATCCTTTATAATAAGAAATATTTCATGAGCAGCAAATCAGCATATTAGAATGATTTCTGAAGGATCATGGGAAATAGAAATTGTAGTAATATTTCACTATATTTCTGTGTTTACTGTATTTTTGATCAAATGAAGCAAGACTTATTTTAAAATGTATTTTATTATTATTTCAAACTTTTGACCAGTAGGGTCAATATTTTTAATACTTTTAATATATTTTCTTCTGTTCAATGAAAAAAAAAAAGATTTAGTTATTTACCCTTAAAATATCATATTATGTGCTTCTCATCTCATCATACTGTAGACATGTATATGTGGATAATATGTTTGCATGTGTTTGTAGTATCGACCAGCTGGCAGAGTTTGTGCGGAAGCACATTGAGAATGCAGTTCAGATCTATCATGAGCTCGTGCTGCAGAGCGCTGATTTCTGCGTGGATGGAGACACACGTGTGGTGGCGAGTCCAGTATCCGCTCCGCGCCGATCGCTGCTGGAACAGCCCAGAAACAGCACTCTCACAGTCCAACAGATGCACGTCCTCTGTGCTCAGCTGAGCAAGAGCGCCCCGACTGGTCAGACTCAGCGTTACTACACAACATGCCAGGGATAGTTCACCCAAAAATAACATTTCTGTCAGTTACTTGTTTTTAGATTGAACAACTCCTTTAAAATTGTGTGCTAAACTGAATGAACAGAATGAGAGTTAAGCAGAACTGAACTGAATTGAACATGCTTCAGTTGAAGTTAGTAACTCTATTGTGTTGTGTGTTTAGGTCTGCTGTGCAGTAATGAGTTGACTGAAATTCTGCATGAATTAACTTCTCCTCATATGGGTAGTGATGTCCTGCCTGAGCCCTGGATGCATATCACTCCCTCACAGGTAATCTTCACTCAAACGCCTCCGTCTCGGACTAGCAGAGCAAATTATGGTTTATTGTTTGTCTTTGGTTGGAAACATTTTGCTTTGCAAACCATTGCTTAAAGTCCCCATGAAATCAAAATTGACCATACTTACTTTGTTTGCCTAAATTGATCGTTTTGTGGTGAACAATTCAAGCAAGTCAATCCACACACAAAAAAATGTTGGCTTCGTAATCTTTAATCAAATTTTGAAAATGCCCCTCCCCTCTGCATTGGAGGACCTTGCCCGATGACGTAGGCTTTACGGTTTGGGTGTTTCCTTAACATCCATAACCACGCCCCTCCAACTGACAGCTGCTGTGTGTTTGCGAGCGCCGAGCGAGCATTGATTGACAGCGTGTGTAAACTTGCATCATCCTCCATATCAGAATGAAACACCCATTTTTCTAGATCCAATCAGATGCTAGTTGGAAAAAAAAACACGCCCACTATTTTGCCTCATTTTTATTCCGTTTCTCTCGGAAATACGTCACAACACTGGGGAAAAGTCGTTTGCAACTTCCGGTTCACGGGGACTTTAAAGTTGACATGAAACAGAAGTTGTGATAGTCTTTTGTTCCCTAATGTGACGTATATCCAAGCTCCTCCAACCAGAAGATAAATATAGGGCGGGAAATCATTTCGTTCATCAGGAATTGATTGGATGGTTGTGGTTTGCTATTGGTGGATCTCATGTGAGTGACAGGTTGTCCCGCCCTCACGCCAGTGAACACATCATCAATCAGAAGAGAAGAGATGACGAAGTTTTTTTTATTATTAAGAATACAAGTCCACATTAATAATAATAAAAAAATATGTTCATTGTGCACTGATAAATCATTTATAAAATAAACTGCAATATTCCATAAAAAATAAGAATTGTCCATTTGTCATGGTGACTTTAAGAAGAAAGTGTCTGAAATGTATTCATTTGAAAAGCAGAAGACAGAAAGTGTGGTTATTGCTTTGGCTTGGGTATATAAAAAAGAGACAACAACTTCCTGCTTAAATAGGAAATGCGTCCAAACTAAAAATTGTGGAAACAAAAGGGCCTATAAATTTAGACTTGATCTGATTGGAATGTTAAATGTCAAATTGTAGGTACTAATTTACTAATATTAATAATCCACAATATGTTTAGCAAATATGATACACAGAAAATTATAAATTATAAAATAAATTATAAAATAAAAATGAGTTTGGTGGAGCTCCAAGCCAAGACAAAACGTGAAGAATACACAATTTTGAGATCATCGGTGTTAAGGCATCGTAATTGACAAAAACAAATCATGTCAAATGAGACGATGCCTTAAAGACGAGTCTTTTTGATTGTGTGTGTGTGTGTAGGTAGATGAGCTAGTGTGTGTATTAGCTCCGGACTCTGAGATGTTGGACTGGCGTCAGTTCCTGCTCAGCGCTGCTCTGCCGTGGCCGTTTCCCTCTCAGATCGAGCTGTTAAAAACCCTCCAGCGCTTCAGAGCCGTCGACACTGCGGGAACTGGACTCATCACACAAAAACAATACACACAGGTCTGTTACGCTCACACACATTTCACAGAACATCACTGCAAGGGTCATATTAAACACATGTCCATACAGTAGTATACGACATTTTTATAATGAAAATATGGTTGCACTCTTAATTTTATTCCAATTGCTTACTACTTCTACAATTAAAATCAGTTGTAGCAAACTTCAAATATATTATTGCTCTACATTTCTGTGTGTCCATCAGTTCAGTTTATCATCTGTTTTGTTCTATGATCAGGTTGAATTGTGGTTTTCCAGTGAAAGAGAACTTCCTGTCCCGGATGACCCAACTGAACCTCTGCCCTACGACAGACTAGTCAACCTTAAGAAGGTAATGCAACATGATCACAACACAATCTGCTTTGACGTGCCTCTCAAACTGTTCGAAACTTCAGCTTTTGAGATCCATCTGAGGTGCTGAAGATCAGAAGAGTTATTTTTCCTGAGTGGTCTCAATAAATGTCCTTTTTGAGGTGGACACTTCTGAAGCTCTGAAAGTTGATTCCTTGTGATTTGACTGACCCCTTTAATGCTTTGAACATCACTGGATACAGTAAATACATTAACATTGATTGTTTTAAAATGTGACTCTTTGAGATGTTCTGAACATGTACAGTAATCTGCGTATGAACATGCATTTGTTTTCCCCCTTAGTTTTTCTTCAGTCTGTTTGCGAGCTCACACTCATCTCCACTGATGCTGGACTATCTGAACATGCTGCTGTATTTCTGCTGTCATCCTGAACCAGCTCAGGGCTTCACCAGAGCGCTGGGCCTCGTGATCGGACACACACTGCACTATAAACACACCGGCCCACTTACACAGGTAACACATTTGTATGGCTATCTATGTGAGGATATTCATTTATATAATGCAATCACTATCCCCTTACCCTAACCTTAATTACCATAACTAATTGCCTAACCTTAAGTATAAAACCAAGTCTTAACCCTCAAACAGCCCTTTAAAGGGCGTCAGAAAATGAGAACTGGCCAAAACGTCCTCACTTTACTGACTTTGTTCTCACTCAACTACAACTCAAACTGGTCCTCACAAAGATAACTGTACAAGCACAAACACACACAAAGTATGACACCGTTAACACTCTTATGAGCTGATGAGTTTGTGGGTGAATTTCATAAAATCTGTCAAGACGAGCTTGTTTGGGTCATATTTTACACCAAAATCAAAAGAAAGTAAATCGCTTTGGATAAAAGTGTCTGCTAAATGATTACATGTAAATGCTTATCGTTTTCTATTTGTCATTACTGTAATGTGCAAGCATCATTTATTAATTACTCTTGTATTGGTTACTCCACTGTTCCTGCTGTAGTCTGTGCCGTATTTGGAGGGCGCTGGAGTCGAGGCTGATGAAGAGGAGGAGAGAGGGGAGGAGTCTGATGAAGTGGGCGTGTCAGTTGATGATGTGCTCAGAGTTCTGAGTCGTGGAGACGATCACGTCTCTTCACATCTGAACCGATTCCAGCCGAACCGCAGGAGCAGAGATGAATTCAGAGAGGTAGAACAGAACAGCTCTGATCCAAACCTATAAAGATCCATCATCAAAGATGGAAAAAATACTTTACAAATCCACAAACATAGCTAACAGTTATTAACCATAGTCAACATTGTGCATGTGTCATTCACTCTCATAAGTTTAACAAATGTAGAGATAGTTTGTGAAATCTTTTGAGTCTGTGTGTCTGTATATCAGCAGATGATCCCGAGTCTCTACAGGACTATATTTAATGTGTTGTTGTCTGTTCAGGAGCTGCTGAAGGTGTTTAAGGAGTTAGGTTTTAAGGATGAGGAGAAGATTGCTTTCTCCACACTTTCCCAGCATCCCTTTCTGCAGGATCTAATAGAGGGATCCTCACAGTACCTGCTTCCTGTGAGTATAACACACAAACATGATCTCACACACATACTACCACAGAGCTCAGTGGTGAGAGCTAAATACAGTTAATATATAAATGTACTTTGTATTATTTTAGGGATTGAATGATCTAAACAGAAGATTCCAGGCACTAAATGATTTGAAACTTTTAAGCAAGTTGTGGGGCTTTTATTCCATGTTCCACGCAAGCTTCCAGTGTCAATAGAGAAAACACAGGACAGAAAAAATGCACTCATCAAGCCTTTTGATGGGATTGTCATTTATTATGTGAAATACAAATGAAGTTTGTATTTACACTAAAACATAAATGTTTTTATTAATCAATTATATATCTTGTTTATAGGACATTCTCAAAATTTTACAGACCCAGCAAACTGAAGATCCTCGAAACTTCTCAACTTGATCAACTGTGACACTCAATAACAACACACACCAACATGAATCATACAAGGTACATGCTAATGCTAAATTCATCATAAAAGCATGAAGAACAGTGATCTGCTAAAATTCCCCTTTAATAAACTCTAAATGTTTCTAAATGTACTTACTGTAGGGGAGATACACATTTGATTGTAGCTGTGTATTCTTGTCTCATATTACAGTAAATAATTTGGTGTATTTGCATAATCCAGAGATGATTGATGTGGTAGCTTGCCGTGATCATGATTGCTTACAGCAAAAGCAAAATATTCAGATAACGTAAAATCAGCATAAAACCTCAACAAAAATGTAAAGTCAAAACATAATCTAAAAATAGAAATAAAGAATACATGAGTGAATGATTTGTTAAATTAATATGTAATGAATGTATATTAATACACAAGTATGTAGGAATATCAATGTAAAGAAAATACAATAAAGAATTACTTGAATTGCATTTTATTGTCATTGCCTATAACAACGAAATTTAAATTGTACTTCCCATGGTGGTAACACATAATATGACAAAAACATTATCAATACACACAGTACATAAATACATTAAATATAGATAAAAGATAAAAGCTCAAATATAGTCATTAAAAATGCAGAGCAATCTAGATGCTCATGAGTTCAGGTATTTTATAGCATTTGGATAAAAACAGTCCTGGATTATATTTTTTGGCCGCTGCATGCATCTGGTATGATATATGTCCACAAATGAGGGGAGCTGTGTGTGAATAATATTTTGTGCTGATTTCCTAACTCTATCCAGCGCTTTTTTTCACACCAGAATATCGTGTGAGATAATGCTTTGGACAGAACAGTTGTAAAAGGATAAAAGCAATTTCTGGGAGAGGTTAATTTTATTGAGTGACCTGAGAAAGTACAGTCGCTGCTGAGCTTTCTTCGCAAGAGCTGTAGTGTTGGTTGTCCAAGTAATGTCCTGTGAAATGTATGTCCCAAGGAATTTGAAGTCCTCAACCCTCTCCACTATTTATCCATTAATGTAGACGGGGGCAAGGTCAGCCTTCTTTCTGCGGAAATCTACCACCACCTCTTTGGTCTTAGAGGTGTTGAGAGACAGGTTGTTGGTGGAGCACCAGGCAGAAAGTTTTTGTATTTCATCCCTGTATGCGGACTCATCATTGTTGTGAATAAGTCCAACTACAGTGGTGTCATCTGCAAATTTGATAACAGTATTGCTTTCATGAACTGAGGTGCAGTCATGAGTGTATAAAATGTAAAGTAGGGGGCTCAACACACAACCCTGGGGTGTCCCAGTGCTGAGTGTGAGAACAAAGGAAAGTTGCGACCCCAGACGAACTGACAGGGAACGATCCGTAAGAACGATCCATAAGATGCCCAGTCCATGTAACTCGGACACCAGTCTTCTAGGAATGATACAATTAAACGCAGAACTAAAATCCACAAACAACAGTCTTGCATAGGTGCCAAGGTGTTCCAGGTGGGTCAGCACACAGTGCAGGGCTGTGTTGATGGCATCAGCGGTTGACCTGTTTGCTTTATAGGCAAACTGGTTCTGGTCCAGTGTGTGAGGAAGGGAGGATGTTATATGTTTCAACAGCAGTCTTTCAAAGCACTTCATAACAGTGGAAGTGAGAGCCACTGGTCTATAGTCATTTAAGGCACTTGGGAATGGAACGAGAATGAAACGGGAATGAAAAGTAGACAGCGAGAGGTTAAAGATGGAAGTGAATACCTCTGCCAGCTGATCTGCGCAGTCGCTCAGCACTCTCCCAGGGATCCCATCGGGCCCGGCAGCCTTCCTGGGGTTCACACCAAGAAATGCCCTCCTGACCTCCTCTTCTCTCAAGGAGTGTCGGGGCATCTTCTTTGGGCAAGAGTATTGTTGGTCCGGCCGCTGTTAATTCAGTCCCATTCGCTTCAAAGCGCGCAAAGAAGTAATTGAGCTTCTCAGCCAGATTGCTGCTGGTACTTGGGCTTGGGTCTTTTAAACCCTTAAAGTTCATAAGGTGTTGTATTCCCTGCCAAACGCGCCATGGATCCCCTTCGTCAAAGTGCTCCTCTATCTTCCTCCTGTAGGCCACTTTTGCGTCCTTGATGCCTTTCTTTAATTTGGATCTGGTGGTGCTGTATAATTTCTTATCCCTAGACTTAAAGGCTTTATCGCGGTTTCTCAACAGCAGCTTGACCTCCCTGTTCATCCATGGTTTATTGTTTTGATAACATTTGACCTGTCTTTCAATAGTGACATTATCAATGCATGTAGTCTCTGCTGTCTTTGCACAAGTCAGACACACAAACACCCACAGGTGAGATAAATTACTTTACACTTGTCAAAACTTGTATTGTTCCTGATACGGAACTATAATGACAGTGAAAAATTCTAATATTTTAGGTCTCTCAGAATGAGACTATGAGAAGGTAGTCCTTCCCAAAAAAGCAGCATAGACATGTGGACAGATTCATTCAAGACTTTTCGGCATCTTTCATCTCAAAGTCGGTCTGATTATGTTGATCTACAGACACATTGCTTTTAGTGACGTAGGGTTCTAAGGCATTAACGATCTCATGCAAACTGTTTATTTTAGCCTGTGCACTGATGGATTCCAGAATAGGCTGCATGGTAAAACCGTAATCCATAACGCTCCAACCTTCTACTTTGTACACATATCCACCAGTGTGCACACCAATCAGGTTGCAGTTTACATCAAAAACTGGAGAGCCAGACGATCCGTGAAAAAAACAAGAGTTATAAGTAAACTTGTTTTCATATGATGAAAAGTCCCATTTCTGTTCCTCATACACCTTCATCATAACATGAATTAAATGCTCATTCTCAGATGCATGTTTATTTGCAGCCTCCTGTCGATTCTCTCTCTCAATGATGATGCAGGGGTCCATTTTCTTGACCCCTTCTCCTGGATATCCCAGAATGCAGATCTGACCTCTGTTAGGTGGGTTTGGACTGTAACATCTGAGCAATTTAGGATATTGAGCAATTTTTTTAACAGAAACCAATTCTAGAAGAGCATAGTCAAGATACCTGCCACGGTCTATTTTCTCATAAACGCAAATTGCATGTTGTTTAACCGATATGCGCTTGATTGAATCCTTGCCTTTATAATCAAATTCAACTTTGTACTCTTTAAAATGTGTCGACAGGGGAGCCGTTTTCACAATAACATGAGCATTAGTGAGGATGAATCTGTCGAAGAGTAAGAACCCGGTTCCTACGGTCTCCCCCCTGAATCGAATCCGACACACAGAGTCAGAGAGTCTCATGAGCTGCTTCACTTTCTTCACCTCCAAGAAATTCTCAACACTTTTATGATATTCTTCTCTGAAGAACTTCAGGACCTGAGACTTGTTCTTTAGTTTCTCTCGCTGCTTTACCGTCTCCAGTAAATCTTCACACTGATCACGCAGAATTTTCGCAATCTCTTCAGAATTGTCTATGAGTTTAGCTACATACCGTTTAGAAGGATTGGTAGACTTTGTTGTGTTTCCATCTTGTTTTTTTTCCTGCTCAGTGTTGACAGGATTCTGGCTTGGCCCGGCATTTTCTACCGCATCAGCATCTGAAGCTTCATTAGGCACAGTTTTGACAAGAGTCGCATCATCCTCCTGACTCTCTGGCTGATTCTTTTTACTGATAACAACGACCTGGAAAGCCTTTCTGTCAAGATAGTCTACAGGTATTGAAAATTCATGTTTTTTGTCCATACCAAACTCATAAAGTCCACAGGTTTTCCTGAAAATGACATCGTTGAATCGCCCATCACGTTTAAGAGCAGTTTTAATTTTCTCTCCTTTGAATGCAAACACACAAACATAGCTAACCCTTCTCCTCAAAGCTTTGCTCTTCAGTAAACATGTCACTGTTGGTCCTCCTCCTTTTTTTACACAAAAGGTGACAAATTTTTCAGGTTTACTTCTTTTACTGAGGAGTGAAGGATCTGCAGTTGTTTGTTGATTTGTAGAACTATTTCCATCCTTTTGGATGAAGGTTATGTCTAAGATCTCATCTTCTTCAATAAGACAGCAGGGGAAATCGGTCTTCACAGCAGCACTAGGAACTTTTCCATTGGGTCTTTGAATCAGTATTTCTTTCTGTTTGTTCTGCTGTTTGTTTTTTTCATCCCTGAAAATTTTGCTTGTATTGAGAGCCTCAAGCACAGTCATGGAAGTTTTACACACCACTGTTAATGTCTCGGAGTTTAAACAAAACTGGAAAGTGTGTGTGTTCTCTTCAACTTCCTGTTAAATGAGAAAAAAACTATTTATGTACACAAACATTCAAGTGAATTCCACTGAACAAATGTTTGCAATAAATGATTAGTTATGCATGTGTTACAGAAAGTGATCTACCTGCTGCAGATCTTTTGAGGGTCCCGCTTCAACTTCTTTCTTAACTGAAGGAGCCGTCGTTTTCTGTGAAAATGTCAACAATAGTGAAGTTAATACAGGCGTACCACTGTCTACATCTTTCTACCATAATTTAAATAATAAAAAGGGGACAGGTAAAAAAAACAACAACACAGAATTTCAGATACATGTATTTAGAATAAGTATTTGAAATACAAAATACTATTTTGTATTTTGAAGCCTTTGGGAAAAAATCTAATGTAATTTGAATTAAATACATTTAAGATGAGTATTTTTATATTTTCAAAATACATAAAATACTTTGTCAGTCAACCTCTTTATCAGGGAACTGGTTTCGTGCATCAACTAGTTCAGACACGCTTTCTAGAAACAAATACACTTTACATAAGATAAATATAAAATTACTATACTTAAAAATAGGAGTGTAACAATCGCAATACATCGCAATACAAAAATGCAACAATATGTATCGTGGATAGTTCACCCAAAATAATAACTACTGTGTGAAAAAATTTTTTTTAAGTTTTTGTCATTGTTTTAGTGTCAGTACTAAATTAAGCTACTATATATAATGTTGAGTACAATAATAATGCAATGGGGGAATATTTGTGAGTCCTGATAATGCCAAATGTCTGATGATACCAGTAAAGTAAAGTAAGTAGCCTACATTATTTTGCATATATTTAGTCAGTGACAGAGTGCAAGCATATTCGTCTCTAAAATAATTCTGTATTTTCAGCTTCAGAATCTTGAATATTGTTATTCTGGTGTCTCTATTGTCCGTTTAATTGGGTTTCCAGCAAGTCCAAGCCTATTCATTCACAAACACAATGTAATATCAAAGTTATCATTTTAATCAACAGTACATGTTTTGTTAACCTTTTATCATATGCCTTGGAGTATCGCAATAATATTGTATCGTGAGTTCAGTATCGATATACAGTATGTATCGAATCATGACATGAGGGTATCGTTACAAAAGAGTTTGAAATTCAGTTTTTGCTGTTGTAATAAAACTGATATTGAGAATTATGAAACCATGATATAGTATACATTGTATACATGATGTATATAATTACTGTGAAGTAAAATTAAGATTGTGGGTCATTTTCTTTGCTAGATAGCAGAAAAGGTTCCCACAGTTTTACATACTGTATGATTTTTTTATAGTGTTCACCACAAGTAATAGACTACATTGTAACCTGGTCGGAAATAAGTATATAAATGGCTGCTATTTTGCACAAGTTTATTTCTACAGTAATTGCCAGCAATAGGCCTATGTAGATTCTTCATTCACTGTGACCTATACCTGAACTGGATGGCCAATTTTACATGTATTTTGTGCATTTTCAAAATACAAAAATACTGTATTTGTATTTAAAGGGATACTTAAAAGTTTTACCGTTTTCGAATCCATTCATTTTAGTTCATTTTTTTTAAACTTCATTATACGCTTATTGTCTCTGCCTGTTGATCACATTACAAAGCCTCTTTAATATCCGATCCTAAGCTACAAGCTTATATTGTTAAGTGAACTGACCTATTTAGTAAACTTAAGCTAAGAATAAACCATTGAAAATTGATAGCGAATCTCCAGCAGAGCAGCCCGGCGGACGAGCTGACTCGGTGAATTGACGAGCTGACTCTGTAATTCTATTAAGGTATTCAGAAAATCAACAGTGATCCATCTGCGTAGGATGTATATTCTTAATTAATATTAATTTGTTGTGTTTAATTTTATATATATATATACCCTTTTTGGGTGATTTATTACGTACGGACCTGGTTCAAACCGTATTCAATACCTTTTGATCAGGCCTACACTTTTTTAGTGGCCTAGTAGGCTGTGTTATGTATCCTGACTGACTTTATGATTAGTTAAATCTGTTTTGCACATGCATCACCACAAAGTTAACCATTTCAGACAGTACCTGACCTGACAACTTCTGTCTCGTTCACTTTACGTCTGTGGGCGTTACGCACAGCTTAGTGTGGCCACTCCAATTTACCTTCAATGAAATCTAACCTTAGTGTAATTGACATAATTACTACAAAATATTTAGATGTAACTAAAAGTTAAAGATTTTTAATAAAACTCAAGAGATGGTGGATGTGTGAAATTTCAGGATTTATGAGTGACGTTAGTTTAGTTACTGGTGACGTTTAGGGAGCAAAAAACAATCCATTGTGGTGTATGTTTTACTTTACTAAATTTCCAAAGTAAAACTGCAATCCCAAACGTTAAGGTCAAACGTTTAGCGGGAGCTGCGCCCATTGGCTAAAGAAGATCACAAGATCGCGCATTATTTTAAAATAAATATATATATTTTTTAATTATTATTTAATCCCATTTTAACAACATGAAAAAGACTATTCAAACATGACATTAAAACATAAATAAAAAAAATTACAAACATTTATTGGGGGTCCTGGGCGGGTGCTATGGCTATTATAGGGGGAGCTACAGCACCACCTAGCTCCCCCCTGGCGCCGCCACTGCTTCAGCACTGCCACTCTGAGCTCGATTGATATGTCTGAGGTAAAACACACCCCCTCATTACCATACATGGTGCAGTGTATAAGAAACATCCCTTTGGTGTGAGAGACTCAGGTTCGAATCCACTGTGAGACACAATGTGTCCCTGAGCAAGACACTTAACCCCTAGTTGCTCCAGAGGCGTGCGACCTCTGACATATATAGCAATTGTAAGTTGCTTTGGATAAAAGCGTCAGCTAAATGAATAAATGTAAATATATATATATATATATAAAAGTAGGCCTATAAGTCTTTTTTTTAATTATTTCTTCGCATATTTATTTTTTTATTTATTTATTTTTTCATTTTTTTTTATTTCTTCATTTTTAATTTCTGCAGGTTTGGTTCTCCATAAAGGTCACACGAATGAATAAGCCTCAGGCTGGAGGAAATGCATATTTACACCTGTAAGGAAGAGGGCGCCACTCAAACCTTTCAGCTGCTGCCATTCTGCATTAAAGAACAGTAGGATAGAGGAGAAGGAAGTTCACTGCTCTTATTTCTAAATCTAAAGTCCTTTTTGCTCATTACTATGGTTGAATTAGATAATTGAAGGTCAGCTGCAAATAAAGTGAGATTAAATACATAAAGTATATTTGAAGAGTTCAGATGCAAAAGCCTCTAAATGCCATTTGAAATTTTCTTCTAGAATGATCATTTTTATCAAGCTTGTATATTTAAGTTCAGTAATTTCACTTAAATGGCAATGATAATTACCTATTAATTGTTATTTAAGTGAAATTACTGAACTAAAATATACAAGTTTGATAAATATCATCATTAAAGAAGAAAATTTCAAATGGCATTTAGAGGCTTTTGCATCTGAACTCTTCATTTGTGTAATTTAATAGAGCTCATTTATAAACGTTTTACAATTTTTCAGAATACTGAATGTTTTTGTGCCAGTGAGATGAGTTTATTGCATGTTGACATTTAGTCTAGAACTAAAACAACCATCATGTTTACACCGCACACAACACCTCACTTTATTTCTATTTCTTTCTTTAACAAGGGAACAGAAGAGCTGTTGGTCAATAAATGTGAAAAGGTAACTAGCGTTACTTATTTAAAAAAGTAACTTGGATATTTTGTTGTAAATTGTGACAAAGAAAGTGCTCTAGTTAATGTGGCTATTCTATTTATTTTTGGCTTTGAGAATTTCAGATAACTGACATTTTTCATATAAACTTTCATGTGTTTTGATTAATATACTGGTTATATTTTAGTAAGTAATTGGTGATTTTATATTCTATTGTTTTATATTAGTAGTGCAGTAGAGGGTAAGAGAGTTATCTAAAGCTTTTTAAAACACTATAAAACAAAAGACACAAATCAATGACCTTACCTGAGCATTATGTGACGTCTCCCCAGATTTATCATCTCTGCCAGTCTGCTTTTCCTGAAAGAGACAAAAACGTTTCTATTACAACTAAGCCTAAAGCCAACGCAGTGTCTAAGCAGAGAGAATGAGAAAGATAAAAGTCACCTGTCCTACACGACTCTGTTGAAAGAAGCTCAGAAGGTCTGCCTGCTTCAGCTTTTTTTTGGGTGGTCCTTTAGGCATGTTTTTGGCCGTTCCGTGTATCTTTAAATATGACAAACGATGATGAGATGAGAAAGATTTTTAACTTGTTTTAATAATCTCACTGTAATAGTCATATTATTCTTAATATTAGCATTACCTTAAAACATAGTCTTCAGTTATTCTGTTGCTAGCATCAATTCTCATTTAATAATTTATATCAACACATTTGATCTTTATTTTTGTGCTTTGGTGAGTCATTTTGTGACAAAAACATAGATAACATAGATAGATAGATCAGGAAAACAAACGCATGTCTATTCTCAGAACAAACATAAAACAAACACATCAAAACTTTATAATATAATAGCCTATTATAATATTATATATATATATATATATATATATATAATATTATAATATTAAATTTAATATATTTTTAATAATATATATTATATATATATATATATATATATATTATATATATACAGTATATATATATATTATTAAAAATATATTAAATTTAATATTATAATATAATATTAAATTTATGATGTATATAATATATATTATATACATCAGGTTACCATAAGTTAGCTAACAACGTTAGTGAAGTGTTGGTCACGTAAGCTATAGCTGCAATTAACCTATATCTCCCAAAAAAATTATATATATATATATATATATATATATATATATATATATAATATTAAATTTAATATATATATATATATATATATATATATATTAAATTTAATATTATAATATAATATTACATTTATGATATATATATATATAATATTATATACATCAGGTTACCATAAGTTAGCTAACAACGTTAGTGAAGTGTTGGTCACGTAAGCTATAGCTGCAATTAACCTATATCTCCCAAAAAAATTATATATATATATATATATATATATATATATATATATATATATAATATTAAATTTAATATATATATATATATATATATATATATATATATATATATATATATTAAATTTAATATTATAATATAATATTACATTTATGATATATATATATATATAATATTATATACATCAGGTTACCATAAGTTAGCTAACAACGTTAGTGAAGTGTTGGTCACGTAAGCTATATTAACCTATATCTTCCAAAAAAACATTTACTAAACCTGGCTACACAACTTCAGACTAGATTCACGAGAGGTCGGCTAATGTGTGTTAAAGTAAAAAATACAGTAATTTAATTAATTTACCAGCGAGCATACTTCGGGAGCACTGAAAATGAATGGGGTTCAAATGCTGGAACTATCAGTGTTTGGAACCTTTGGCGGCTCCACGACACGCGTTACTTCCGAATGAGTTCCTATGGCGGTCTATGGGAGTGTCGGAACTCTCTCCATGGCTCTGACCGAAATGAGACAAACTGTGTGTAATTTAAAGTTAAAGTTGATCCCAGTTCTCCACTGCACTCTCCAATTCATCATCCTTACAATCATACAAATATAGTCAAAAGATATCCAACATGAGAACGTTTAACAGTGTCCTACCACAGTATTGGTTGAGGAAAACAGAACCATGAACAACAATATATTGGTATTGACGTCTTAAGACTCTAAGGAACAATGGCAGCAAGTGAGTGTCCGGTGAGTATCAAACCTAAAACTTAACTTTTACGTTACCAATTTTACGTCGGGTTGGGTGTGTCCAGGAACAGCAACGCACCTACAATGGAGTCGACCATGACTCGTCACGATTCGTTCACTAATTAAATTAATAATTTACAGTATCGGCTTTATAATCAATCATCGAACAGGGGCGGGGTCAGGCGAGAGTATTAAAAAGGCTTTAGATGATGCTCAAGATCGCAGAATTTACTACCACAGTCAAACAGTTTAACGTTGAAGACAAGAAACTAGGATCCCAATTTAAGAAGTCAGAGACATTACAAGTTTACATTGCAAACATTAATATCCTTCAAATGGACACATGGGAATCTTACCTTGTCCGAGTAAAAAGGGAATTTAGTTGGTGTTGAGTCGTGACGACTTTACTTCAGAGTTTCTATTCTCACTTCATTCAGTCCACGATCGCTCTGATCTGACTTCCTGCTCTCCTGTTCATATCCACAGTAAAGGGAATCGAAAGCTATGATCGAAAGTAGGCCTACTAGAAAAACTACTATGAAACGAAAGCTATTTATTTGCATAAAGTGGCAATGAGAAATACAGATGAGCTACACCTAAAAAGTCATACTAATGGGCTTCATTTGACAGTGATTCAACCTAATGATGCAATAAACAAAGGCTACTTGCAGTTAAATAATATAATCTTAAGTAATAGAAACGTAATTAAGGTTTTCCTTTATTAAGTTTTTTTCGTTTCGAAATGTTCCTTTTCCTTTTTAAGAAATGTTCCTTTTCCTTTTTTTTATATCAAACTTTATATTGCAATTATTATTATTATTTACTTTTAGACAGATTAATATTTTGGAGTAAATAATGAGGCCAATATATTTGGGTCTGATTAAAATAAGTATAATTTTGAATATTTACCTTTTTCAAATATACCTTAATTTATATTTCTGTCCACATGTCTGTCCCACTCAGTGAAGATGCAATTGTACAAGTCATATTCTCAGGTCAGTCTCTCAGTGTATTTAATATCCCCCCAAATAAATATTAATATTTATTTGTTGTTGTTTTACAATTCATTCAGTGTTTGAATAGCAAGATTGTTTATAAAGCTTCAATATTTTCTTATTTCTTCTTTGCAGAACATTCATAACATTTTTCAGACCCAACAAGCTGAAGATCCTAAAAGCTTACCAACATGATGAGCAATCAAAATAACACATGCATCACACAAGGTACACGCTAATTACAGTAAGTGGAAAAAAATATTAAAGCTGTATCTGTTGCATTAAATACGTTTACATTCAAGGTATGAAGAACAACGATCTGAAGTTCTGCTGCATGAGTCCTGATTTTAACCCTCTAAGATGTTATTCTAAATATATTTTGTTTTAGTTGAGAGATATTTGATTTACAGCGATTCTGTCAAATCATTTATGATCTCTTACAACAAAGACAAAACATTCAGATTGTGCCACCGTCACCCTCTGGGGGGTTTCTACCGTAAGTAACTCTTATCTTGGTCATGAGCCACTTGAAGGGTGGCTCATCATGACCAGGCCCTCGAACTAAATCTAAAATATCTTAAATTGTGTTCCAAAGATGAACAAAGGTCTTACGAGCTTGGGACAATGTGAAGGCGAGTCATTAATGACATAATTTTCATATTTGGGTGAACTAACCCCTTAATCTATATTTCTCAACTTCTTTAAAAAGTCCACCTTTATAGATTCAAGAGTCAGGTAGGCATAAAATATTCTCTTCTTCATCTCAGGGCCTACTCTGAACAGTACCGTACCCCTAGCCTAGGCCTACGATCCAGATAACAACCAAAGGCTATCTGGGTGGGGGAGTTAGCCTTCTGTTCAGTGCACCACACTCTGTTGTAACTGGTTGGCAACCTTGACCAACTTAGTAAAGTCTATCCCCTATAAAAAATCTGAAACCCCTATACAAATCTATCTTTTTCAGACAGTCATCTTATGATACCCCGAAAGGATTCTCACTCTACAGAAATAAACAGACTGGGACAATAGAGTTTTGAGGGCAGTCCTCATTCTCAATTTATTATTTCTTGCAGAGGCAAAAGCTAAATACACCACTCTTATGCCAGCTAAGTTTGAAGTTCCATAGGCCAGATACACAATTACATTTCAAGGCTTATGCTTTCTTCGTTCAATATATACTCACCTAAAGGATTATTAGGAACACCATACTGTGTTTGACCACCTTTCGCCTTCAGAACTGCCTTCATTTTTTACGTGGCATTAATTCAACAAGGTGCTGAAGGCATTCTTTAGAAATGTTGGCCCATATTGATAGGATAGGATCTTGCAGTTGATGGAGATTTGTGGGGTGCACATCCAGGGCACGAAGCTCCCGTTCCACCACATCCCAAAGATGCTCTATTGGGTTGAGATCTGGTGACTGTGGGGGCCATTTTAGTACAGTGAACTCATTGTCATGTTCAAGAAACCAATTTGAAATGATTCATGGTGCATTATCCTGCTGGAAGTAGCCATCAGAGGATGGGGACATGGTGGCCATAAAGGGATGGACATGGTCAGCAACAATGCTCAGGTAGGCTGTGGCATTTAAACGATGCCCAATTGGCACTAAGGGGCCTAAAGTGTGCCAAGAAAACATCCCCCACACCATTACACCACCACCAGCCTGCACAGTGGTAACAAGGCATGATGGATCCATGTTCTCATTCTGTTTACGCCACATTCTGAATGTCTCAACAGGAATCAAGACTCATCAGACCAGGCAACATTTTTCCAGTCTTCAACTGTCCAATTTTGGTGAGCTCTTGCAAATTGTCGCCTCTTTTTCCTATTTGTAGTGGAGATGAGTGGTACCCGGTGGGTTCTTCTGCTGTTGTAGCCCATCCGCCTCAAGGTTGTGTGTGTTGTGGCTTCACAAATGCTTTGCTGAATACCTCGGTTGTAACGAGTGGTTATTTCAGTCAAAGTTGCTCTTCTATCAGCTTGAATCAGTCGGCCCATTCTCCTCTGACCTCTAGCATCAACAAGACATTTTCGCCCACAGGACTGCCGCATACTGGATGTTTTTCCCTTTTCACACCATTCTTTGTAAACCCTAGAAATGGTTGTGTGTGAAAATCCCAGTAACTGAGCAGATTGTGAAATACTCAGACCGGCCCGCCTGGCACCAACAACCACGCCACGCTCAAAATTGCTTAAATCACCTTTCTTTCCCATTCTGACATTCAGTTTGGAGTTCAGGAGTTTGTCTTGACCAGGACCACACCACTAACTACATTGAAGCAACTGCCATGAGATTGGTTGATTAGATAATCGCATTAATGAGAAATTGAACAGGTGTTCCTAATTATCCTTTAGGTGAGTGTATGTGCTCTCTCTAAAAAAATCATCTGTCTTCTTTTGAGTGTTGTGGTCTGTGGCTGGCTTCTGCTTGCTCTCCTCAAAATATCTCACACAGACATCTATTCTGAGAGAGATCAATTCGGCCACATTTTATAATCACTAATGACGCACACCATCTCTACATTTGTGGACGTTGCTTCTACTTGCATCAATATATTTCCTGCGTGTGTTAATTGTTACATTAATTGCGTGAATGCTTGGGTTTACCCGTGTCAATATTTTTACTGTTTGCCTCAATGGCATTAGCAATACACACATTTTTTATTGTACATTTTATCAGTTTTCTACCTTTCTGGACATTGAACTCCTGTCTTCATTTTTAGCAGTTACACACAACAATGCTCTTGTCCCGCAAAACATAATGCAACATACGTCATCTTTAGAGGATGTGGTATACAGCACAGTTTGTGCTTCTGTCACCTCATGAAAACTTCATGGCCTGCTTTTTATTATATATTTTCTTATAATTTTGATATTTATCTAAATGTTTATAAAAGAAAAAACAGCACATTACTCTTGACAAGATAAATCAATGTAAAATCACTTTAATGCATCAACAGACATAAAAAAGTAAAAGAATATAAGAAAAATGCATATAAATATATATGAGTGAAATGAATATAGATAGTATATGAATACACACGTCTGCATTAATAGCAATGTAAGGAAACTTGTAAAGAAAAAAATTATTACTGTATTTTTAGTCTCTGCCAAATGAACAATGTTTACTGTCTGCTCTCTTCATAGGAGTCAGACCCACAAACACCTGCAGATATATGACTTTTCACTTGTCAAAAATAAGAGAAACCAAGTGTAAGGTAAAAATAAGGTAACCAAGCTTTTGAACACACAATCACTGAGAATTATATGATATGTGTGAAACCCCATTATGAAGACAATGAAAAATCTCTCAGAATTGAAGGCTTGATGTCATGTTTTCCCAAGGAAAAAATCTTCCATCATCTTCCATCTCAAAGTCAGTCTGATTCTCCTCATCCGCAGTTCCATACTCATAGCTTTTATCGCTGTAGGCTTCTAAGATATTGACGATCTCATGCAAACCTTTTATCCTAGCCTGTGCTCTGATCATATCCAGGATGGGCTGCATGGAATAGCCATATTCAATAACGCTTCTAGTTTTACCTTTTTCTCCTGGGTACACATATCCACCAGTGTGCACACCAATCAGTTTGCATTGTTCATCAAAAACTGGAGAGCCAGAAGATCCATGAAAGAAACAAGAGTTATAATTAATCTGGTTCTCATAAATGTCCCATCTATCTTCCAAACTCCTCTGCGTGATCACATGAATGAAATCCCGATTCTCAGATACGTGTTTATCTGCAGCCTCTTGTGTTTTATCTTTCCCAATGATGAAGCAGGGGTCCATTCTCTTAATCCCACCTTCTGGATGTCCAACAATGCAGATCCCACCGCGGCTAGGAGGGGGGCCAGGACTAAAACAACTGAGCAACTCATGACGACCTGTGATTTCATCAACAGCATCCAGTTCAAG